CACTAAATTTATGTCTGTTGAACATGATTATTTGTTTTTTTTCTACACACAGATTTATAGTTTATTTTACTTGCAAATTCTCTTCATTATTTTCTCTCTTGTTCATTCTAGTTTGTGAATATTACTCACATTATGAATGTTTGGATTTTGTAGCAGCCGATTGTAAACAATGCGCTATTTCTACATTGACATCAATGGCTAAGGTGAATTATTGTCCAGTTATTTGTTAGCCTTTTTTCTTCACACTTTTAAATTGCCTTGATTTTATGTTAGTGATTGAGTAGTTTAATTAGTTACAGACTATACGAAATCTGGGTCAGTTGTGTATTTGAATCGTTTGCATCAACGGTGCGATGTGACAGAGGAATGTGAGTAGTGTTAGTCGTGGAGATAAGAGTTCGCCTCGTGTTCTGTTACAGATATGAGAGTTAATGTTAATTTCCGGCTGCTCACACTGTGGAAGGCTATTTCTTGAGTAATATGAAAAAGAAGTTAGATTGCCGGGAGCGTGACCGCAGAGTCCGAGTGACAACTGCTTGAGGCCGGTCACATACGGTCCTTTTATACCAAATTGACATGCTAGCTCCGCTCTTCGAGACGGAAGTTCGTGGGGTAAGGTGAGGTGTGACATTTTTACATTCGACCTTTTCTAACCTCTTCTTTCCGTTGTGAGAAGGGGCACACTTTACTGATGTCACAACCCTCTACAGTCAGCAGAATAACTTCGCTGACAGACCTTCAGTTGATGCTTTTAGTCATACCGTTCTCTAACTGACTTACCCAACATTGTGAGATCTGACGAAACATTTGGTCCAGTCAATATAGCTGGGTTAGGTCACCACGACAGTCAACTTCGACCACTATGTCTAGACAGTAGCAACGGTGAGGATGGAACCTGATACCTGGTACATACCAGTATCAGTTTAAGTCCCTTCATTATCTGTCAGCACTGCTTGATGGAATCGAAAATACAAATGTTAGAATAGTTGAAGCAGTAGAGGAAAAGACTAGTCGTATATCATATGATCCAAGAAGGAAGAATAAATCCTCGTAGTAAATGTATGACTTAAGTTGTTTTTGAAGCATTTTGAGAGCTATGAGCTAGCAATTCTGCGGTTAGACACAGAGTAAGTACTAGATAAGAATAGTACGTCGATTGATGAGGTAGTAAATTTATTACTATTGAAATGGTTAAGGCATGCATTACACATCTCCATCCGTCAAGTATCTCGGCAGAAAATGTGATAGCCAGTGTAGAAATAAGTTGAGACAAAAGCTGTGGATAGGAAGGGGGCCGGATGTGGTATCAGTCCATGAAAACACTGACCATTGGACTCATCCATGTAGAATAGTTACATGCATATTACCTGGCTGGAGTAAGTGAGATTCTCGTAACCAACCGTTAGAGACTGGGCGACATAGTTTAAAATGTTTCCCGACGGAATAGATGCTTTCACTCTTCACCTTCTCCTTTCAATGATTCATATTTTATTCTCGAAACTTATATAAAATGACCGAGTTTAATTATTGCCTCTAATACTATTACTATCTCAACTACTCTAGAGTTTAAACTGACGATTTGATTTCTGTGTGTAGTAATGAAGTAGCATAACTTGAAAAGATGTACACACGTACTAGGCTCAGTGTTGTATATCTATGCCTAACTGGCTTTAATTTTAAAAATAAGAATCTAAGAGAATCACATTAGGCAATCAATATACAACATGATGACTGATTCTGTTCTATGTAGTAATATACCTTCAACCAATCAGCTTTTGAGAAACATTTTAGGATCCTTTTTTTGAAATTTCCCATAAATAAATTCTCTACTACAATTTTTTTTTTGAATTTCAGTCTCCAACATGTATACCGGATCCAGTTGAAACAAGAAACTCTTATATGATGTCACGTTTATTGAAAAATTTTTCCAAATCATATTCATCAACTGATCCCACAGATTTACCATTGATTGATTTGACTGAAAATGAATTCCCTAATAAATGTATTGATAATATCAACACTAATACTACTACCAATACTACTAGTAGTACTAGTACTACTAGTAGTACTACTAATACTACTAACACTTCAACTGTTAGTAATACAATCCCCAGCACAACTACGAATACATCACTAGGATTGGCCAGTTCTCAATCTTCTTCAACGAATACACCAAAAACATCAACACATCAATATCATTCTGTAGAAATACAAAGTGGTCTTGCTTTATTAGACGTTGTTAAAACACTCTCTTCATCTTCATCACCGTTATCAGCATCACCGCAAAAATCTTCAGGAATCAATGAAGAACAAGCATCATCGTCATGTACAACAACAGCAATAACTAACACTACAGAAAAATCTGATAGTTCTATACCACCGCATACATTTTCATTGTTATCTTCTCATGTACAACAATCACATCATTGGCGTGAAGGTAATTTACCAGTTAATTCTAAATGTGTATCATGTCGTAAAACATGTTGGTCTGCGGAATGTTTAACTGGTTTACGTTGTGAATGGTGTGGTGTTACAGTGAGTTAATATTATTGATATACAGTCTACTTTAAATAATGTGTACTTACTTATATAACATGATCTTAGGTGATCTCAGTTATTTTGCAGCGGAGTTTTGGAGGTTTGTGTTTTTTACACATTTGAAATCATCAATCAATCAATCATTGTTAGACCACCATTAGAAACCTGGAAGCACTGGACGGCCGTTTCATATGGGACTCATCAGCAGTGCACATCCACGTGACCAGTGGAGTTCAGCCCTGTCGGTTGTAGGTAGTAACTACTAAAGACAAATGGGTGAGGTCGCGCAAAATCCGTAGATCAATCAGAGTTAGACATTAACACCGTCGGATGCCGGCCCAGTGGTACGATGGTTAGGCGTTCGCGCACATTGCCGAAGATCCCGGGGAGCAGCTGTCGTGGATGCGCACTGCTGATGAGTCCCATACCAGGACGAAACGGCCGTCCAGTGCTTCTAGGTTTCTAATGGTGGTCCAACAATGATTGATTGGTGATTTCAAATGTGTAATCTCAGTTAGTTAATATTTAACGTTTAGATAGTATTGAAAATCTGTGCTTGATAGTATGCCTTGAGACTTGTTAGTTAGTTGTTGAATATTGTCATTTCCTTAGATCATTAATCCAAATCTATCTCCCTTGCTTACACTTCGATCTTGTCCATTCATTTACTTAGTTCTGAAGACTTCTTATCAGCATTAGACATTTCGCCTTATTATTCTCCACAGTGCAACTCATTGATCTCTGTGGCCTGGGGTAATGTGTTAGCTGCTGCTATCCAGAAACCCTACTACGCTGAAACAAACGTACTCATTCAAATCACGGGACAAACTGTCAGATTACTGGAATAAGTGCAGTAGAGTGACTAGCCTATCATCTATTGAACACTATAAAAATAGCTGGAACGGTACTGAATGAACACGAATCGAGCACACAGATAATGGGTATTGCATCAGAGGTTGCTGGATTCATGCTGTGCTTTGATGAATTTCTTTGGATTTAATTCGATTCCTATGAGAATCGAAAGACTACCGACATTGCTTACTGACGAGAGGCAACTAACACGAAATGTTAGGTCCAAAGTTCTCAATCGACTGACCTAACCATTCGAAAAGTTAACTACTTTTATTTAAATCTTTCGTTTTGACAACAGACAATAACAACTTAATCAGCTGGTATGTGAATGACATATATATGAAATTGATTTTGATTTCTTGACAATCGTATGTGACATGAATTTAAATCTAAGAAGGGAATTTAAATAAGTCCCATACTAAAACAAAATATTAGTCTAATCTTGATCGATTCATAATTTCAATGAAACGCAACCATTTTTACAAACCTATAATGACAATTCATTTAGTGGACTAATCAATTCATATATCGATATACACGCTGGCTTGTTTAAATATTTGGGCTACTTGTTGCCGAATCGATCAAAATATTTCAATGAGCTATCTCTGTTTCTTTGCTTTAACGCGTCAATTATGTCTGTTAATCACATAGGCTATACAAACGGGTATATGCATAACTGACGAGCTATTACTTCACAAGGTACAAAAAATGTACAACCCAAAACTTCATGATGACTGACTATCAACTGAGAAAAGAATTAACGTTAATAAGATGTCAGTTTGTCAGCTTCCAAGTACCAACCACTAATTGTTTTTATAAAGGAAACTTGTTGAAATATTTCTATGCTCAGAATGCCACATTGTATTAAACATATGATATTGAGGAAAGCCATGATTATTATTGTAGTGAACGAAAACACAGGTGGGGCAACCGAACTGTATTTGACGAACATTACAGAGTTACTCAGTAAAATCGGAAAACCATATCGTAAATCGTTCATTTGCAAAATATCAGTTCATCATATCGAACTGGACTGTTCCTGTTGCAAAACATCAATCCATTGTCACTATTCATACAAATTCCATTGTGTTCTAACTCTTCCTTTCTTGATCTTCCCCCCATCTTCTGCTGCCAGACATTACGTTGACACTCACGTCATATACTACTTATAAGTAGCTCGCACCACATTATTATTATTGTTATTACGTCTGTATATTCAGATGACGTCGAAAATGTTTGATGATAATTAACATTAACAGAATTAAATAAACGTTTTTTCAATATTTTGGGTAACTATTTTTATAATCCAGATTAACAAACTTTGTGTTCATTATATAGTCGTCATTGAACAGTGAATTTGATCTTTGTGAGGAACATGTATTCAGTTCCTTCCTAATCAAATTCATAGTATAAGTATAATAGATTTTATTCCTCTTTATTTGAAATGATAAAATTGATCAATGTCAGACCAGCCATTAGAATTATGGAAGCACAAGAAGGTCGTTTCGTCCAACTATCAGACTCATCATTCATCAGCAGTTCGATGTCCACTCGCGGGTACTGAACCTAGGACGTTCGGTCTTGTATGCGAACACTCAACCTATTGACCGGTGATCTGGCATTCAAAAATGTTACTGTCATGCTCTTGCACAATCTCACTGTTTTTTTTAAAAAAAACGTGAAATTCTTAATTGTATACATTTAAATTATTCTCTCTATACACATCTATAATTTTCTATTTTTTACTCATTTTAGACACATTATTCATGTTATAAAAATTTATCATTAGAATGTGATTTTGGCATATTAAGAAACATAATGCTTCCACCATATTGTGTATCAGTGCCTCGTACAAGTTTATTAGTTGAACAAATTATTGGTATGTGTAAACCTCAACCGGAGACATTAATGGGAGGTAAGTTTAAAATATTTTCAGTTTCAAAATCCTTTATTTATACTGTGGTGTGACGATTTACTGAGTGTTCTTAAGCGCTTGGTTTATAAATCAGAACATGAACTCGTAGTGATGAATACATTTATTCGGGACACAGCACAAAGCGAAGAGCAGAGAAGCAGTGCAAAAAACGAACGAAGCGACGTAAACTGGAGAAGGCTTTTGAGCCAACTCGTCGGATTACAATACGAACGGATGGGCGAAGTACATTGGAGAAGGCTAGTGAGCCACCTCAAAGAGATAGACTAAGAATATATAGTCAGACAAAAATAAGGCAGACATGCGACAAGCGAAATAGGCGTGCACACACATGAATAAAAGCGACGAATGATTGACAAGGTCAAAAGACAAGTGGGACAAGTCACGTGAGCTCATACAAACCAGACAATAATAAGAACGAATGGTACATATAAATTGTTGCTATACAAATGGCTTGGTTAAATAAATTAATCGAAAGGGCTTAACCAAGTTAGATGTAAGCGAACTGAAATATATGTGGAGGCACTACAATACTACTTGACATTACAGAGAACTTCTGTATAGGCTGCTGCCGCCAATCATGATTCTCCAAACCGATTCTCTTGTCTGCTCTCTCCATTCCAATTCTACTCAATCTCTATTTATTCTTTTTCATGTCTGCTTCCAATTCTCGGGCACAATGTGTTTCTTTAGCTTTGAGGAATTTAAGTTAAGGTTTGCCCCATGTGACACAGAATTAAGTCATTTCCACATTGTATATGAGAAAAAAAGTTAGGTTTTTTGTTAATAATAAAATTTGCATTACGGGGTTGTAAAGATTGTTAAGTTACACATTTTTGAAAGCATGAATCGTGAGGAATCTTCTCCAAGTTCTAGTGGGAAGTTGTGTGACCAGTGAAGTTCAACCTGTTCGGGTGTAGACAGTGTCTACCGAAGACTGTGTATGAGGTTGCGCAACTCCGTGAATTTGATCAAGCCAGACATTAACACCGTTGAGTACCGGCTCAGTGGTCTCACGGTCAGGGCGTTCGCGCACAATACCGAAGGTCGTGGGTTCGAATCCTGCGGGGTGCAAGAGTCGTGGATGCGCACTGCTGAAGAGTCCCATACCAGGACGAGACGGCCGTCCAGTGCTTCCAGGTTTCTAATGGAGGTCTAACATTGATCGATTCATGGTTTCAAAAATGAATAATACAATTGACGATTTAAGCTACAGCTCTATTGTATTTTTTAAGAAAAAACTTTTTAATGTCGTTTTGTTTTTGGCGCTTACTGAATTTGCATTACAGGGGTTGTGAAGATTGTTAAGTTACTTTTGCAGTCACGAATTGATTAGTGTTAGACCGCTATTAGAAACCTGAAGCATTAGACAGCCGTCTCGTCTGCTGACGAGTCCTATGTCCGGACGAAACAGCTGTCCAGTGCTTCTAGGTTTCTAATGGTTGTTTAACATTGATCGATTTATGATTTCGAAAAGTTTATTTAATTGATAAAATTCCGAAAGCGAGAAAAAAAATTTTAACTGTACAAATCAAGAGTTTATATATATAAAAAGTTATTCCAAGTTTTTTTAATAAAAACGATTACTTGTTGACGCCTGTTACCCCGAACGGAGCATAAGCCACAGACTAGAGAATTGTTTTTCTGGTCAGCGTTCTTTTTATTTTAGCTGGCTGGATTTTAACGGGATGAGGTCACTAATCACATCATGCCAAACTCTCCTCTTTTATCCGGGCTTGCGACTGGTAGTAAACCTTAGAAGGGCTCCCTCCAGGCAGAGTTTTATTGAAATAGTCAAGAACATTATTTTTGGTTTGATTAGAGCGAATAATTCTGCTGGAGTATTTAATTGTATTCCTTAAGTTGAACGGTAGGAAAAAATCAACTTTGGACAAGGAAACTGATTCAAAATCTATAATATTGAGAAGACTGAGGCTGGCAAGGAAGATTGTGTATCATGCAAATTTACACTCTGAGTTAGTTAAAAACGAAAACATTGAATACACTGAATACACTCTATTTTGACACCATCTTTGAGACGTTACTTCCAGCACTCCATACTTCTTCCATTCCTGTATTTGTTTCCTTTACTTCCTGTTGGTACTACTCCATTTACTTCTTGCTTTTGCTCCATTTGCCTTCCGTTTTCCTCTTCTGACCGTGAGACTTCTTCTTCTTTCACGTCCCTTCTTATACTACTTATATCGTTCGTATAAGTAGCACACACCACAATATAACAGATTCTCGGAATTGACTTGACAAAACTCATTCTATTAACTAAGAACACCTAACAATTAAACCATACACCTCAAAGAACTCAACTTGACTTAAATAAGTTTTTTTAAAATTAAGTAACCGTATGACTAGTACACAGTATTATCAAGTGATTACTTGTGTAATGATAGTTTTTCAAATGAGCTGTTACATCATCGCAAATTCTCATAGTAACTATGATATATCAATCTATCATTCATTGTTGATAATATGTTCTGCATTACTTTTCCATTCTCAAATTTCATATGATAAGTTATTTAAAAAGAAAAATAGTTTTTATTGCTGTTAACTACTTTCGATGAAGTTTATTTAAGCATTTCCTGATCCAAATTCGATCCTGCTTCTATTGAATTGAAATACACAATTGAAAGATCTTCTATGAGTCAAACGGTTGATGAACTTAAGCTTTATAGTTAAACACATCTTGATAAATGTATTCAACGGAAAGTATGCAACAACAGAAGGTTTAGAAGAACCAAAAAATGTACATGAAGTTTCGTAGTAGTATCTTACAAGTGTAAACGCTACACGTTGGATAGATGCCGTACCCATTCCAGACCAGCGGGCAAGAAAAATGACCGAAGTAGTAATCCGGCATATTGTAGCACGTCACGGAATACGGAAGGTGATATTAACTGACCAGGGTCCCTGTTTTGAAAGTGACGACAGCTTATTAAAAGGGGGGACGAGTGTGGTGTGAGCTACTTATACTTAGTATATGACGTGAGTGTCAACGTAATGTCTGGCAGCAGAAGATGGAGGAAGATCAAGAAAGGAAGAGTGGGAACACAATGGAATTTGTATGAAACGCATGAATAGTGACAATGGATTGATGTTTTGCAACAGGAACAGTCCAGTCCGATAGGATGGACTGATATTTTGCAAATTAACGATTTACGATATGGTTTTCCGATTTTACTGATTAACTCTGTAATTTTCAAGATTCCCATTGTGAAAATTAGAACAACACATATAAGCGAACAATATTGTTTTCGATTAGATTGTCATCAGGCTGCTTTACTCTAATATACATGAATATTTATATATGAAAATGTGAAACCAATCAAGGCAATTTGAGTGATAATCACAATGGAATGAAATGAAATAGAGATTACGTCACTACATATATTACAGGCAGAAGTACCAGTGGATAGTAGGAAGACAGGTGTACTGATAGTAGTAGTAAAATTATAAAATATGATTACTAAAGGTTTATCAATAGTAGGTCAATGGTGGATGAATAGACTTCAAATAATCATCAAAAAACATCAAAACCATTACGTAATAAGCAAATGTGTTAAAAATAATAAGTAAAAAAATAAGGTCAATCGTTAGTTACGTCATATCCGGCCACGGAAGAGATAGGGGTGTCACGAATTTTTTCTGAACACATAAATTAGGGTTGAATGTACATATTCCTATGGCTTCTGCAATGTGTAGGAGACGGGATCGAACTCCGTTGGGAAATGATGGAGGTATACGATAGATCACCCGACAAGATCTAGATTTATCTACAATGTGACCACTATTTACCAGGTGTGCTAAGATAGAACTGCGTATTGTTTTTGACTGACCCTTCGTAAACCATGCTGGGAGATGTTCACTCATTCGTTGGTTAAGTTGCCTGGAAGTACGCCCGATATATATATCTCCACAGGAGCAGCTGAATTTGTAAATGATTATCACTCAAATTGCCTTGATTGGTTTAACATTTTCATATAAATATTCATGTATATTAGAGTAAAGCCTGATGACGGTCTGATCGAAAACAATAATGTTCGCTTATATGTGTTGTTCTGTAATTTTCGTTAAATACAATTCGGTTGCCCCACCTGTGTTCTCGTTCACTACAATATATCGACGGATTAATTAGTCGCATGCAGGTTGATGTCAACTAAAATGAATAAATTCATGAGTGATAGCTTCCCTCTGGTCGGATAAAGTTCCTTTAATTTTTTCACACATTTGAAATCACCAATTAATCATTGTTAGACCATCATTAGGAACCTGGAAGCACTGAAAGATTGCCATTTCATCTTGGTATGAGACTCATTATCAGTGCACATCCACAACTTCTACTACTCACACCGTCTTGTGCACTAACGCCTAATCTCTGAACCACTTGGCCGGCAGTCAACAATGTTAATGTCTAACTCTGATCAATCTAAGGATTTTGAACGACCTCAACCATTCGCGTTCGGTAGTTACTACCTAAATCCGGCAAGGTTGAACTTATTTTTAAAACTCTACATGTGTCTGACATCGTCTATTTGTATGTTTACTTTGATTAGCGAAATCCGAATTGAGCATGATAATTGCTTATTCAATGTTTTGCACACTCAATTCCTTTCCAAACAATGACCTAATAATTGATTTATTTCTCTGTTTAGAGCTAATTTTTGTAACATTGTGATTGATATCTAAGCATAAAGTTAAATATAATAAATTTTTTTTATGTCATAATATTTTTTTTTTAAAGTTCAAGCTCTTACCGATGAATTTTCAAGTAATGGTGATAGTCCAGAAGAATCTGGAATTGAAAGAAAATCAACCAAAGATAAAACAGATCGTGACTTTGATGGTATGTTAAAAAATGAATATTTGTATATATGCGGTGATCTTTTGTTTTACACGTTTAAGCTACTTTAATAATAAATAAGTAGTAAAACAATTTATAACTAAGATTTTTGTAGAGTCGGTTTTATATTTGATTAATTTTTGGTATAAATACCTATGGTAAAGTATGTATACTTTGTTACTTGTTAATTAAACGAAGAATCTTACTTCTTTTACAATCTTTTGAACAGATTATGTACGTGTCTACGACGGTTGGGGTCGTTTCCGTAAAAAACAATGTCGATATCTTAGTCTTGGTCGTAGTGTATCTGTGCTTAAAGTGATTGAACTTTCTTTGAAAGCTTTTCAATTACCACCTGATGAAGCAAGAGATTATTATCTTGTAGAAGTAAATGAAAAAGGTTAGAATGCATTTTTATTTTTTATAGAACAGTGAGAAAAGATGTAACTGATTTGAAAAATGTGACTTATATTTGCTCTATCTAGTCACACATATACCAATCAAGGCATTTTATATCAAATTAGTAAAAGGTCAATTATCAATAGAAGTTTAAATAAATATGAGGTGATAATTATAAATGAAGGTGAGAGAGAAAATTAACGTAATATTAGAAAGAATAAGAAAGGGTAGGAAAATTGTCATATTACCTAAGGCCATAAAATGCCTTAAAGACTACTGGGGTCAATTCAAGGTTATAACAAATTGTTTCTGTGTTAATAAGTGGAGGGGGCGGGTTAAATTTTCGAATAAATAGCCAAGGCATTCCATAAACCTCAAAATTTGTCTTTCAATGTGTTTTACAATCGATGAATGTGGTTTTCCATTTCTCACATTTATCGGGTCATCTGACGTGAACGGATTTTGAAACCACTTAAATATATGTTCTATAACATCAGTTAATTTCATATAAAATTCTCTGCTAAGTGTATATTGTTAGGATATTCATCCAATATCTTAAAGGAATTATTGGTCAATTCCTATTGGTTCATTCCTACTGGTCAATTTTATGGTCGTCCTAGATATCAATGTCACATACTCCAATATTGTTTCCTATTGCTTGCCTTGACTGTCAATGTCATTTCAAATGTTACTTCCTATTAGTCGTCTTAACTGTCAATCCCACAGAATTCAATGCTGTTTCCTATTCGACCAAAATGTATAAATACGCATTTTCTGTAACGTTTAATGACCACGACCAGGACCAGCACCCGGTCCCGGATCCCTAGTCTGGGATCCTGTTTCTCTTCTAGATTCGGACCTCGTACTTTCTGGTTGCTTGTAGAATACAGGTTCTACTTCATATTAAGACTTCTTATTTTCACTGAATATGGGGGTTGAGATAATCGAATTTGAGTAGCATATCGTGTCACCGGATCCTCGATCCTCGCTCTCGCGTTTTCCGACTAGGTAAACTCGTAATAGTTCAAGTATATCAAGTTGACGTGTTTACGTGCAGGCGTAACAATATATATGTGTGTGACCAGATTGGCCGGAATGTATAGCGCAAATATACGTTACATTTTTTAGATCGCTTATGTCTTTTCACTATTCTATCAAAATTTATCTAAAGGACTAATTGTTTTAAACATTATTTATTCAAAAAACTGCGTTCAATGAAAAAGTATACTTTAAATGAACAATTGAACCGTTTCATTTTCAAAAAAGAATCTTTATATTATTTAGTTTGCTGATGATTATTTCAGTCAATAATGTATGATAATTGTTTTGATGATTCAGTGTTTTGAGGAGAACTTGAATGATGCCATCAAAGAAAACATCTACAATCGATAAGCATTTAGTGGCTACATTAAACTCAACGTAGGGTTCATCAGTTTAATGACTCACGATTTGACTTCAATATTAATGAACATTATGCTATAAAAATAAATCTCCACTTTTAGTTTTCGTATATCTAACTTAGGCGAATTCAGTTTGTGGTATGATGGTCAAGTGAGAGCATATAGCGAACTGTCATCTGAATTCTCTACATCAAGCGGTATCCGTCAGGGATGTCCACTCCACGAATGTCCACTCTCTCCATTCTTGTTTAACTTTCTCGTAGACATCCTCTTAGAGTTAACATTAAGCTCGTCAGATTTTTCGGGAGTAGACCTTTCACCATGAGGCTCGCGTATCGACTTAGAATATGCCAATGACATAGTCCTACATGGTGAAGACGCTGACAAAATACAGAGTCTTCTGACCACCCTAAGCAAAAATGCGAGCATGTTCGGCATGCGGTTCTCACCCTCGAAATGCAAAATGTTGCTTCAAGACTGGGTTGCATCGGCACCTGAACTAGTGATAGGGAGTGAAGTAGTCGAACGCGTTGATCGCTTCACTTATCTGGGGATTCTCATCAGTGCCGATGGCCTGGTGACTGACGAAATCTCAACTCGGATATAGAAGGCTCGATTGGCTTTTGCCAACCTGCGTCACTTATGACGTAGACGAGATATCCGTTCGCTGACTAAAGGACGAGTGTACTGTGCAGTAGTTCGCTCCGTCTTACTTTATGGCTGTGAAACATGGCCAGTGAGAGTAGAAGATATTCGTAGGTTACTGGTTTTCGATCATAGGTGTCTTCGAAGCATTGCTCGTATATCGTGGGACAACAAAGTGAGCAACGCTGTTATTAGGAAACGGGTGCTAAATAAGAATGGCAGATCAATCGATGAAGTGGTGAAACTTCATCAGTTGTGGTGGTTGGGACATGTGCTGCTTATGCCTAACCACCGACTGCCTCGTCGAGCTATGTTTTGTGGTGTAGGAGTAGGTTGGAAGAAAGTTGGGGGCGGCCAAACCAAAACATGGCAGCAATCCATGAAGTCACTAACAAGTGGACTGAGTCATGTTGGTAGATGTAGACTACCTGGTTGGGGTCAGCGAGACGAAAGTCACCAATGGTTAGAGACCTTGAACGACATTGCTCAAAATCGTTTGCAATGGTGCAAGTGCATCCATTCGTTGTGCTCTCGCAAATCCTAATCTTCTGGATTCTTCAACCCCTCTAGTTTTGTCTTTCTAAACTTTTCTCACTGAATCATACTTCTTGAATAATATCTTTAAACCCTAGTCTTTCTCATTACCATTAATACCTCTACTATCTTTATCACTATAGGATTTGATTTGACATTTGCGTCTCTGTGTTAATAATGTGGTATGGCAACATGAACTTATGTACATACGTACGAAGTCCTACGTTGCAATTGACTGACTGTTACTAAGATGCCAAATACAGATTCCGTTGGATGAGTTTATTTCAGACAATCCTTCATGCAAACAGACATAATGAGAATACAAAGCGTAAAAAGCAAAGTTAAGCTAAATGAAGCAGAGTAGGCAGGCAAAACAACTCCACGCAATGAAGTATCACTAAGATGTATTTATAGTCAGATAAAAATAAGCCAGATGTGCGATAAGCTAAATAAACGGTACCTACTACAACAAACAAGATAAAAGCTAATAGTTGACATGACCAGAAGATGTGTAATAACTCCAAAAGGACGGATTAAAGACTACTGAGATCAGCACTGTGGGCTTTACATAAAAGTACACATTCTCTAAGCGTTAAATCAATCAATCAATCAATCAATCATATCCTTACTAGCTTGTCATCAGTCATCATGAAAAGCAGATCTCTAGTTGATAACACTCATATATATAATATTCAACAGTGGTGAATTTACTCTTTCTGTATGATATCTTGACTAAAACAAGTATTAAATTCAACTAGATAGTATATAACTTTTATTCCCCATTAATCGTATTTTGATGCCTAAATCTGTACTGCCTTATTGTCACTGTTATGCATTGCATTGATCCTCATTAAATCATCACATGAAATTCTCAGCATATAATTGATCTAACAAATTTTAGCCTATCACATGCTTTACTTACTTACTTACTTACTTACGCCTGTTACCCCCAATGTAGCATAGGCCACCCACCAGTTTTCGCCAACCAACTCTGTCCTGGGCTTCCCTCTCCAGTTCTGTCCAATGTTTGTTCATTCTTCTCATATCTTTCTCTATTTCTCGGCGTAATCTGTTCCTTGACCTTCCTCTTTTCCTTTTGCCTTCAGGGTTCCATGTGAGGGCTTGTCTCGTGACGCAGTTAGGTGTTTTTCTTAGTGTATCTCCTATCCTTTTCCACCGATTCTTCCTGATTTCCTCTTCCACTGGAATCTGACTTGTTCTCTCCCACAGTTCGTTGTTGCTGATGGTGTCTGGCCAACGAATACGAAGTATTTTGCGTAGACAACTGTTAATAAATACTTGTATCTTCTGGATGATGGCTTTGGTAGTTCTCCATATTTCCGCTCCATACAGTAGAACTGTCTTCACATTTGTATTGAAAATCGTGATTTTGGTTTTGTTTGAAAGTTGTTTGGAGTTCCAGATATTTTTCAACTGTAGAAATACAGCCCTTGCTTTGCCAATCCTTGCCATTTCATCTGCATCCGATCCACCTTTCTCGTCGATGATGCTGCCCAGATATGTAAAGTTGTCAACGTCCTCGAAAGCATCTCCATCAAGCACGATTTGGTTGGTGCATGTTGTGTTGCATCGGAGAATTTTGCTTTTTCCTTTATGTATGTTGAGACCTAATGCTGCTGCAGAGGCTGCTGCTACACTGGTCGTCTTCTCTTGCATTTGTTGTTGCGTGTGCGATAGAAGAGCCAAGTCATCTGCGAAGTCCAGATCGTCCAGCTGCGTGCTAACTGTCCAGTTGATACCGTGCTTCCCTCCAGATGTTGACGTCTTCATAATCCAGTCGATCACCAGGAGAAAGAGAAAGGGTGAGAGTAAGCAACCTTACCTGACACCGGTCTTCACCTCAAAAGAGTCTGTCAGCTGACCTCCGTGCACGATTTTGCAGTTGAATCCATCATATGAATTCCGTATGATGTTAACTATATTCTCAGGCACACCATAGTGTTGAAGAAGCCTCCATAGTGTTTTCCTGTCCACGCTATGGAATGCTTTCTCGTAGTCGATGAAGTTGATGTAGAGTGATGAGTTCCATTCAATTGATTGTTCCACAATGATCTGTAATGTAGCAATTTGGTCAGTACACGATCGATCCTTACGAAATCCAGCCTGTTGATCTCGAAGTTGGGCGTCTACGAAGTCCTTCATTCCGTTTAACAATACTCTGTTGAAGACTTTGCCTGGTATTGAAAGAAGAGTGATCCCTCTTTAATTCTCACACTTGCTGAGATCGCCTGTTTTTGGTATTTTGATCAGGTATCCTTCTTTCCAATCTGATGGTACTTGTTCCTCATCCCAAATCTTCTTGAAGAGGATGTATCACATGCTTTACTTAACAAAAATATATTATTTGGGAATAGTATCCTTATTATCTTAACTAATCCAGTACAACGGTTTTTCATTCAAATCATGAATTGATAATTGTGATAACATCAATCGAAACCTTTCGAAGCAATTGACAGTCATTCTGACGTAACATAGGTCACACCAGTAGTGTGGATCCACGATTCACATGAAAGAATCGAACCCTGAACCTTTGATCCCACGTATGAAGAACGTTTATCCTGTTGACCGATGATGAGTTCAGCATCCAACGATGTTAATGTCTAGCTCAAATCAATCCACGACAATGCACGACTATCGTCTATTACCTCATGGTGGATAACTGATTCACATACGATATGGCTAAACTCCACCGTTAGATGCTGGCCTAGTGGTTAACAGGTTAAGCGTTCACGTACGAAACTGTACATCCTGAAGTCAATTCTTTCATATGGATCGGATCATCAAGAAATTCCACGCTAAGATGCAACTGTCGTCTAGTGCATCCAGGTTTTCTGTGATTGTCTAATTTAAATCTGTTTATTATCTTATTGAAATATTATCAGTGAACTTGTTCTCAATTATAATTTACACATTGAAATCAGAGTTTTAAGAAATCAACTCTGAAAAATTGAAATAATTGTTAAAGTTTCGTTAATATTGTGGTGTGAGCTACTTATAAGTAGTATATGACGTGAGTGTCAACGTAATGTCTGGCAGCAGAAGATGAGGGAAGATCAAGAAAGGAAGAGTGGGAACACAATGGAATTTGTATGAAACGCATGAATAAGTGAAATGTCAGACAATGGATTGATGGTGGATTGAAGATTTGCAAATGAACGATTTACGATATGGTTTTCCTATTTTACTGAGTAACTCTGTAATTATCGTTAAATACATTTCGGTTGCCCTCACCTGTGTTCTCCTTCACTACAATATAAACGTACCCACTTTTTTGTTCAATAAATTCTCCACAAGTTAATGAAACTAACTGATAAATTTTATCTTAACTACATATTATTATTATTATTATTATTAATATTATTATCACTACCTACTTACCTAATTCAGATGGAAGTGAACATCGATTGCATAGTTCTGGTTGTTTTAAATCTCAATTACAATTTGAAACTCGTAGACCACAAATTTTAATACGTTCACGTGATCGTAATCAAGATCGTGAATATATTCAAACATTTCCTGGAACATTAGAGTAAGTTTCATTCATTATTCATTAAACAAAATGCTTAATCAACTTGACTCAATGTTTGGATAGCAGTCAGTCCCTTTATTCATCAGGCTAATCTCTGAATGCCAATCGTATTGAAATGTTTTATTTACTTTACTTGCTTACACCTTTGAACCACATCGGAGCGTAGGCCAGCGACTAGGATTCTCCAACCTACTCTGTCTTGGGTCTTCCTTTCTAGTTCTATCCAATTTTTGTTCATTCTTCTCATGTTCCGATCTTCCAAGTGAGGGCTTGTCTTGTGATGCAGTTGGATGATTTCTTCAATATTTGTCCTGTCCCCACCTCCAGCGCTTCTTCCTGCTTTCTTCATCTGCTACAACTTGGTTTTGCTGTGAAAATGTTAGATGATTTTGAATCGAATTCATTCATTAATGTTCCTATAATAATAATCAGTGAGTGAGAATTAGTCTTGATGATTGTATAAGAAGAAGTTGAAAATCCTGATCGGTCCGTTTTCTTTGACTCAATACAAATGTGTAAAAACACAAAACTGCAAAACTCTTCCCCGAAATATCGTAACAGTGCTCACTAGTGACTAGCTTCATGAGGAAATTCTCGGAGTTCTAGTTGAGAAGACGTGATCAATCGAGTTCAACCCTGTCGGGTGCAGTAGGCAGTAACTACCAAAGACAAATGGGTGAAGTCGCGCAAAATCCGTAGATCAATCAGAGTTAGACATTGACACTGTTGGATGTCAGCCCAGTGGTCCGTTGGTTAGGCGTTCGCGCACAATGCCGAAGGCCCCGGGTTCGAATCCTGCGTGGTGCAGGATTCGTGGATGCTCACTGATGATGAGTCAGTCCCATACCAGGACGAAACGGCCGTCCAGTGCTTCCAGGTTTCTAATGGTGGTCTAACAAGGATTGATTAATGAGTTCAAATGTGTAAAAACATAAACCTCCAAAACTCTGCCTGACAAATGACTTACTCAATTAAGCAGAATATTACGCAATCAATTAAAACCATAACATATACTTCCTATTATCTTCATCAGTCTTAATGGTTTGGTGTCCGGTGAAAGTTTGGCACACATACAGATGGCTCGACTGGTTTTTGCCAAGTTGAATTATTTATGGCGTAGGCGAGTTATTCGTTCGCTAACCATAAGATGAGTTTACTGTGGAGAAGTTCTCGCTGTTCTATTTTACGGTTGTAAAACATGGCTAATAAGGATAGAGGATATTTGTAGATTAGCGGTTTTCCGGTCATAGGTGTCTTCGAAGCATTACTTGTATATCCTGGGACCATCAAGTAAGGCGATGCTAGGGTTAGAAAAAAAGTATTAAGTGAGGACGGAAAATTTGTTGATGAAGTAGCAGATCAACTGAGGAAGTTAGTACATGTATTACATATGTATGTCGAAGAAGCCTCCGTAGTATCATCCTGTATATATCAATAAATGCTTTAGTGAAGTTGATGTATAGTGGTGAATTCTATTCAATAGATTGTTCCACAGTGATTCGTAGTATCTCATGATTTGTTCGGTACATGATCAATCCTTACGGAACCCAACCTGCTTATCTTAAAGTTGGGCGTCTAACGAATATTTCATTTGGCTCAATAACATTCTGTTGAAGACTTTCCCTGGTACTAAGAACAGAATGATTCTTCTGTCATTCTCATACATGCTTTGGATCTACTTTCTTTGTTATCTTGATGAGATGCCCTTCTTTCAAGTCTGTTGGTACTTGGTCTTCCTCTCGAATCTTGATGAAGAGAGCGTGGAGTGTCTTTGTGGTTATTTCTATGTTCGTTTTCAGTGACTCTGACGGTATTTTGTCTGGTCCTTCTGTTTTACTGCTACCTCTACTACTATGAGATTTGTATTGACACTTTCACCTCTCTGTGCTAATTTGGTTCGATGACTTGGACTGATGTACGTACGTACCAAGCTCCACGTTGTAGTTGACTAACTGATTTCCTTTCACTTGACCAAACACATTTGACATGAACTTATTTTGTATGTATAAATATAATCTGATTTATGCAAGTTTGTTTCTCGTACCTGATATCACTTTTTAAAAATACTACTGAAAGATCTCATAATCGGATAAAAGTATCTGTTCAGTACAGACTGCTTTTCAAAGGACAACTAACCAAAACTAGTCTGTGATCGTGAGTTGAGTATTAAACATTTATCTGGAGGTCAAACTCTATCAGTTGGTTATGTAGCTTGAAAAAAACGAGTGGATAAAATCTGCATTATTATTGTGAATGATGCTGAGCTGCGTCAGTTCAACTCTCCAGTATTTGATCACGGTTACCTCCAGGACTCCAAAGAGATAGTCTATATCCACCAACATGGCCAGGACGAATATGTATGCATGCAGACTTATAATTATTGTGACAAAGATCACATAAATATTCATGTGTCAAGCAAATCAATGAATCTGTATCTGGTTTAAGGATATTGTCCCGGCGGTGCCCAATCCAAGACAGGAGGTTTTCTTAGGACATTACTGCACGAGGCTTTGAGCTACAGGTATAATTTACAAGCCAGTGAAGCAACATCAAGAAATGTAGTATCATAGTAGCTGATGACCAACAATAGACTCATACGCCATTTGTTTCTTCAGAATCTGAGAGCTCATGTACACTATCAGCTTGGAACCAAGGTTTTTCAACTCCTCTAGATAAATCTTCCATTTCATTAGATGACGATCTACAACCTGATCATTTGATCTGCTAAATTTTCTATCACGTTATGCCTAACCTTAACATTACTCACTCAGGCTCTTCAACATACACATGAATAACTACTTCAAAGACACTCGTGATTGAAAACTTGGATCCTATTCACTTCATAGAATAATACAGAATAGATTCATACTTAGTATACTCACCCATGTTACTTAATGACTTACTTACGCCTGTTACCCCCAATGCAGCATAGGCCGCCAACCAGTTTTCTCCAACCAACTCTGTCCTGGGCTTCCCTTTCCAATTTTGTCCAATGTTTGTACATTCCTCTCATATCTTTCTCTATTTCTCGGCGTAATGTGTTCCTTGGCCTTCCTCTTTTCCTTTTGCCCTGAGGGTTCCAAATGAGGGCTTGTCTTGTGACACAGTTAGGTGCTTTTCCTTATGTGTATCCTATCCACCACTTCCACCGCTTCTTCCTCCACCGGAATCTGGTATGTTCTCTCCCACAGTAGGTTGTTGCTGATCGTGTATGGCCAACGAATCCGAAGTATTTTACACTCACCCATGTTGCATGACTATTTTGTTAAATTCAAAATTTCTATCCACTAAATTGTTAATATTTTAATTGTTTTTTTTTCTCAAAATAGTCAATTCACAGATGTCGAACTATTACCAATACAAATCTCAGTGACACGTGATACTACAGTACATGATGTTATTCAGCAAGCATTGAAAAGATTTGGACTTGAAGTAAGAACATTTATTATTTAACAATCTATTAAAAAATAATGACATTTATATGTAACTGACACACAGAATACCATAGTGGTTAAGACTCTATCTAGGAAACACAGGTTCAACCCTCTCTCTCTCATGCTAAAATCTAGTAAAATCAAACTCCTCCCATAACATAAAATAAGGATTTCATTCAAACCATGAATCAATCAATGCCGGACGACCAATATAACCCTAGAAGCACTAGGCGGGCGTTTTGTTCGATCATCAGACTCAAGTTAGTATGGTAATTGATACTTGACAATAATCATAAAGAAGCTTAGGGTACATGTAAGTAAAATGTAATTGTGTTTATGCTTCCTTCCTATATGATTGAAATCAATATTGGCAAGTTTCACAGCCTAACACATATATATAAGTAGTTTTTTCTATTTTGAGTAATGAGTCTAGTTTTGTGTGCATTGATTCACAAAAGTAATATGTCAAGATTAGTTTAATTAGATTGGCAGCTTGTCTATTGTTGCTAGTAAGCAATAAAATCAAAGTTTCCCTTTAATCACACCTAAGGCTGTGCATGGAATTTTTTGTTTTATGTGTACAGAATAACTATAAAAAGCATCCTAATCTTACTATTTTAATTCAGTGAGTGAAACTGCATTAAAATTATCTACCTGAGGTATGAATCTTTTTCCGGTATCTCATCAAAAAGACAATTGACCATAAAAATATATACGAAAGCAACTATGGTACACTTTTGTACTCATGAGTGATCAGATTCATGAGGGGTTGCTGGGAGTTCGATTGCGAAGCCATGACCAGTGGAGTTCAATCGCATTCGGTGTGAAATAGTAGTAACCCACCAAACACAAGGGATGATGTCTGAGCAATATCACAGTTGGAGGCTGGTTCAATGGTCAATAGTCTTACGCCTGCACGTCAGCACGTCAACTTGATATACTTGAACTATTACGAGTTTACCTAGTCGGAAAACACGAGAGCGAGGATCCAGTGACACGATATGTTACTCAAATCCGATTATCCCAACCCCCATATTAAGTGAAAATAAGAAGACGTGATATGAAGTAGAACCTGTATTTTACAAGCATCCACAAAGTACGAGGTCCGAATCCAGAAGAGAATCAGGATCCCGGACTACGGATCCGGGACCGAGTCCTGGTCCTGGTCGTGGTCAATAAAAGTTACAGATAATGCGTATTTATACATTTTGGTCGAATAGGAAACAGCATCGAATTCTGTGGGATTGACAGTTAAGACGACCAATAGGAAGTAACATTTTAAATGACATTGATAGTCAGGACAACCAATAAGAAACAACATTTAAGTATTTGACTTTGACAGTTATAACGACCATAATTTTGACCAATAGAAATCGACCAATAGGATTTGACCAATAATTCTCTTAGGATATTGGATCAATATCCTAACAACTAGGTTAGGCGTTCGAGTGCAAGATTGTGGAGTCGTCGATGCTCACTAATGATGAGTTTAATACCATAAGGACGAGACTTCTGTCCAGCATTTCCAGGTTTCTTATAGTGTCCTAACATTTATCAGTTCACGATTTCTGTTGGGATGGCTCTTAGAAGTTTCTAGAGGCTCATAAGAAACCGAAAAGATCCCACCCAATCACAGCCCAATAGAATTTCTAGAGTATCGACAAGGTCCACGACTACTGTGTAACTTCATTGTTACAATACCCTGCCTTGGATTATCAGGTTTTATCCGGAAAGAAAAAACAAATTATTTTTATCCTTACTGATAAAATGTTTTAACTCTCCAAGAAATAATCATATATCTATCTATATATACTTCATGAATCAATTAATTTTTTTCTAGCATTTAGACTCGGGTAGATTTCAATTAGTTGAAACAAATTTAGATCGTGGACTTGTTGAACGTGTTATGTCATCAGGTGAACGTTTATGGACAATTTTAGAACGTGTTAAACGTGAATCAGTGCGAGCATTACGTTTAACACGATTTTATTTACAACCAATTGAAGAATCTAAAGGACCAGTAGTCACTTTATTTGTTGGTAATTTAAAAAAAGGTTTAAGTCAACGTTTATATGAACGTATATTACTTGAACGACTTGGTATAGAAAATAAATGGGATTTTATTGGTAAGTTTTGAGTGGTAAATAGTTAAATATTACACTATATGTGATAATTTATTATGAGGATTTGAATCTATTTTTGTACGAACAATTGGTTATATTTTGTGTAAAATAAACGCCCATAATACATAATAGTAATAATACTATGCCAAAACCCCATGCATCCAGTTTCGTTGTAAACAATGACTTACTTACTTACGCCTGTAATCGCTAATAAAGTATAGGGCACAGACCAGTGAATTCTTTTTTCTGGTTAGGGTTTCTACAGGATGCGATCGCTAACCTCTCCTCCCTTAAACTTGGGCTTGGGAGTGGTAGTAACCCTAGAAGGGCTTTAGGTGAAGTCGGAATAAATTTCCATTCTCATTTTTGCATGTATTATTCTTAGGTGAACTTGTAGTGCCTCCACATATATTCCAGTTTGCTTACATCTAATTTGGTTAAGCCCTTTCGATTAATTTATTTAACCAAGCCATTTGTATAGCAAAAATATATATGTGCCATTCGTTCTTATTATTGTCTAGTTTGTATGAGCTCACATGACATGTCCCACTTGTCATTTGACCTTGTCAATCATTCGTCGCTTTTATTCATGTCTGTGCATGCCTATTTCGCTTGTCATATGTCTGTCTTATTCTTGTCCGACTATATATCCTTAGTCACACTCTCTGCGAGTTGGCTCTTAGCCTTTTACATCGCGCTTCTCCTATTCATTCACTTCCTTCTCCTGTTCGTTCGCATTGTAATCCAAGGAGTTGGCTTATTAGTCTTCTCCAGTTCACGTCGTTTCGTACGCTTTGTTCGTTGCTTTTCAACTTCGCTTTGTGGTATGTCCAAAAATAAACGTATTCATTACTTCGAATTCATCTTCTGATTTATAACCGTCAGACGCTACTTTGTAACGATTGTCTAGACGAGCTAATTGCCGACCTTTAGAACAACGCAGACATATGGTCACCTGGAACTTCATTTGTGCAACGGTGATAAAATTAAAAGTTTTAAGGTGGTTGGACGAAGTTATTTCATTTACTCCCACAAGCAGACAGATATATATAAGAATGCTAAGCGTAAAAGCTAAACAAATTAAAGTGAAGCAGAGTAGGCCAGTGAGCCAACTTCATGTAGTTAGGCACGAAAAAATAAGCTAATAAAAACATGAGCTAAGCAAAGAGAGCAATAAATACGCACACCTACACACACTCACATTCAAATAAAAACAGACAAGACTATAAGAAATCCTACAATGTACTCACTAGTGACTAGCATCGTGAGGAAATTCTCGGAGTTCTAGTGAGAAGATGTGACCAGTGGAGTTTAACCCTCTCGCGTGTAAGCAGTAACTACTGAAGACTATGGGTGACGTCGCGCTAAATTGCCAGATTGATTGGAGTTAGACGTTGATATCGTTGGATACCGGCTAGCTCAATGTTGTTTCAAGACTAGGTTACATCGGCACCTGAACTAGTGATAGAGAGTGAAGTAGTCGAACGTGTAGACCGCTTCACTTATCTGGGGAGTCTCATCAGTGCTCACGGCCTGGTGACTGACGGATACAGAAAGCTCGATTGGCTTTCGCCAACCTGCGTCACTTATGGCGTAGGCGAGATATCCGTTTGCTGACTAAAGGACGAGTGTACTGTGCAGTGGTTCGCTCCGTCTTACTTAATGGCTGTGAAACATGGCCAGTGAGAGTAGAAGATATTCGTCGGTTATGGGTTTTCGATCATAGGTGTCTTCGAAGCATTGCTCGTATATCGTGGGACACTCGAGTGGGCGACGCTGTTATTAGGAAACGGGTGCTAGGTAAGAATGGCAGATCAATAGATGAAGTAATAAAACTTCATCAGTTGAGGTGGTTTGGACATGTGTTGCGTATGCCCAACCACCGACTGCCTCGTCGAGCATTGTTTTGTAGTGTAGGAGTAGGTTGGAAGAAAGTTAGGGGTGGCCAAACCAAAACATGGCAGAAATCCATGAAGTCATTGACAAGTGGACTGAGTCATGTTGGTAGATGTAGGCTACCTGGTTGAGGGCGGCGAGACGAAAGTCACCAATGGTTAGAGACCTTGAATGACATGGCTCAAAATAGTTTGCAATGGCGCAGGTGCATCCACTCTCTTTGTGTTCTATGAAATTCTAAGCTTCTGCATTCCTCATCATCTCTACCTTCTAAATTTATCTTACTGAATTATACTTCTCGAATCATATCTTCGCTTCCTAATTTCCTCCATTATTGCTAATACTTCTACTATCACTATCACTGTTGGATTCGAACTGACAGTTTCGTCTCTGTACTGATTGGGCATGGCAACCTGACCTGATGTCCATACGTACGAAATTCTGCGTTGTATCTGTCTGTTTGTCTGTCTGATCGATTTTATGATTGTTATAAAGTAATCCAATCATTTTCACAACCCTAGAATGTAAATTAATAATGCACCGTTTTCCCTCTCTTTTCATTACTGTTCTCTTTTCTTATTTTATTTATTTTATAGAAGTAATCTATTATGATTTTGGCAGTTTAGTATTAGTTTATTTAAATGCAGAACGTGCTGATGAAGCTTATCATTTATTAAAACAAAGTACATTTGAAGATCGTCCAATTTTAGTAATGATATTGCCTAGACTTAAACCAAATAAATTACCAGATGATATTAAACCATTGTTAGTATTAGTCAATGTGAAATCAGGTGGATGTCAAGTAAGTTTTTTCCTTATTAATCATTGTTTCATTCATACATATTAATAAATTCTGTTACATCCTTATACTTGTGGCGTTGGAAGGGTGTTATATTCGTCACTAGGTACGCTTGAAGTTATTCTGAGGTCACTTTAGTCGATAAACGTGAACGAGACAATGAATCAGCATCCTGATAGGCTGCCTTGAATCCTAAGCTGTAAAACAGAAGGCTTGATAAGCGTAGAAAGTATATTCTACAAACATCCAGTAATCACACAATACAATCAAGCACACAACTCTCGTTTATTTATACATCATAGAAACGTCCTTAGGACAGTAGTTACGAAAACAGCACACTAAAATGCACAGCAGCCAATCACAGCCATGGATTTTCGTGGTGGGAAATGAAATCTCAAGGTCAACAGATCAGTCCATGCTCGCAAACGTGAAATCCAAAATTTAAGGCATTTATCAAGTGAGTTTTGGGGATCTAACATCCCCAACAAAGGGAAGACCAAAACATAGCACAAATCCATGAAGACACTGAAAAAACTGGACTAAGTCATGTTAGTAGATGTAGGCTTCCTGGTTGGGGTCTGCGAGACGAAAGTAATCGATGGTTAGAGACCTTCGACGACATGGCTCAAAATCGTTTGCAATGGTACTGGTCCAACCATTCTTTGTCTTATCTCAAATACTAGTCTTCTAAATCCATCGTCAACTTTGTCTTTCTCTTTTTAAGTTTATGTCACTGAATTATATTTCGCAAACGATATCTTTGATCACCAACCTTCTCCATTAATGTTAATACTTCTACTATCTCCACCACTATGGGATTTGAAGTAACAGTGGCGTCTCTGTGCTAGTGTGGTATGGCAACCTGAGCTAATCTACGTACGTGCGACGTTCTACATTGTAACTGACCGACTGAATGAGTGACGCGTCAATGAGTAACATAAAACTGGTACCCTATAGTTGTCATTAGTGGCCCAGTACTAACTAACCCCCAAGGTAAGGGAACAAACACAAGACTCTCATGGTCACCAGTTCAAAATTGACAAGTCTAGTAGTAGTATAGTATTTCTAAAATGAAAAGATTCCAATACCAAATATGAATTAAAAATGTTTAAAACTCCTATTTTTGCATCAAGCTGAACTTTTAGTGACCTCATTAGATTCGATGTTGGGCTTACTACTTTAGTGACTGCGCTGAACTCGAAGTAGGGCTGAGCAATCTTAATAGTCCACAATATGATTCCGATATTTACGAATAGTCGAATATGCTGTGAAGTAAAATCTCCTCTCCAGTTTTCATATATTATTCAACATAGGTGAACCCAGTCTGTGGCGTGATGGCGGTAATTAGAAGCCAAAAACACATTCGGTTGGATAAGGTTTTGTTAAAAAAGTTGTTGTTTTTGTGTTTCAAGTTTTGATGTTAAGAACATTTGATTCTTTTATATATCTTAATTTCTTCATTCTACAAAAATTACTACCTGTTTGTGATAATAAATACCTGATTCTTCATTTAGTGTTATGGAAATGGTGGTTTTTACCATGAAATCATGAGTGAATCATTGTTACAACACCATTAGAAACCTGAATTCACTAGACAGCCGTTTCGTCCTGGTACGGAACTCATCGGCAGTGTGGTCCAGAGGTTAAACGTCCGCTGGCACGAGACCGAAGGTTCTGGGTTCGAATTCTGCGAATTGCAGCAGTCGTGGATGCGCACTGCTGACCAGTCGCATATCAGGAAGAAACGGCCGTCCAGTGCTTCTAAGTTTTTGATGGCTGTGGTCTAACAATGATCGATTGATGATTTCAATGAAACTTAACAATCTCTGTAACTTGGTAACGAAAAATATTTGAAAAGGCTTTCATTATGATTGTCACTATTATTTTAACTACAGCTATCTAATTCAAATTGGCAACAGAGTATTTGAAACAACGAACAACTATTATATAAATTCAATTAAACATATTACTAAGTCAACAGCTGACAGTTGGATTGCATAGGTTACATCATGAAATGATCTGCACTGGACAACTCTTTGAGAACTAGGAAGCGCACGGACCAGTTGTTTCGCCCTCGTTAGGACTCTTCAGCATTAGGCTTCCTTATCTCAAATCATTTCTCGATGCCAAACTATAAAGAATTCCTGCTTAACATTTAATGTAACAAATCGTTTTTCTTTCGTGCATTTTCTTTTAAAAACAATCAGGGTGCTGAATTAATCACATCATTTCGAAAATTGTTAAATCCTCATCAAGTGTTCAATTTGGATTATGGTGGTCCACTACCGGGTTTACATTGTTTTCGTCATTTAAAACAATTTAAAATACTTGTATGCGGTGGTGATGGTACAGTTGGTTGGGCATTGTCATGTTTAGATAATGTCGGTCAAGATGCTGCATGTCCTACACCACCAATGGCAATTCTACCCCTTGGTACTGGTAACGACCTTGCACGTGTTCTACGTTGGGGTTCAGGTTATACAGGAGGTGAAGAACCATTAAGCATATTGAAGTAAGCTGATTGTTTTAGCGATTCTCATATGATTTAGGCAATGAGTTATTAACATGCATGAATGAATAAGTTGTGATTGTTGATTGTGAGTGATTCTTTTATTTTTCTGATGTTCGATTATGGTGAATGTTTTGGTTATGGAGCTTTCATTGTTCTTCTGAACTACAACATCATCAGCACAAATTTCGGGTAGAAGTGAAGTATTCAACTTCCCCGTAACATGTCCTGTTGACCTCGATCTTGATTGGTTGTCAATGAGCTGAAACCTGTCATCACCTAAATCTTTATTTTGACTGTATCCCCCCTTTGATCTGTTTCTTGATCCTATGTTTGTCTATGGTTTTTCTGATTGGCTGATAAATTGTGTCGGTGTCGATGTGTTTGTTGATTGCTGATTAACCTGAGTGCTAAGCTTCTAACAATTCTCTAGCGTTCTTTCTGCTCCTCTCTATCCTGTATTTCAACATTGTTCCAATCAAACGTATGTCCACAACTGTCCGTATGTATCGATATAAGAGAAGAAATTTCGTGGAACTCAGGTCAATCAGCAATCAACAAACAAATCGATATTGATCCAATTTATCAACCAGTCAGAAAAACCATAGACGAACATGGACTAAAGAAACAGATCAAAAAGGGATACAGTAGAGGCAAAGGTGCAAACAACAACAGATTCAAGGTCAATAATAACCAATCAAGATCGAGGTTAACAAAACAAGCTACGCATCAAACATGGAGAAATTCGAATACTTCACGTCTTCTACCTGAAGTTTGTTATGACAGTGCTGTTCAGAAGAGAAATGATGAAAACTCCACTACTGTACCATCTAGTTCAGAGAACAAAACCATCGCACTCATCCACCTGCGCTACAAATTTTCTCCATTATCTCAAAATCATATTGTTCGATTGGGCGCTTTGTCTTGATTTTAGCTGGTCATGAAACTGTGGTCTTTATTCATTCATAGTCAACGAGGCAATGTGTTTTTTTCGTTTGGAATATATGGTTCTCACTAAACTCATTCTACATTAATATATTTTGAATTAAGAGAAACTATATCTGTATTCTGATTGGACTTGATAGTTCATAGGTCTAAGGAAGTAAGTATTTATTGTTAGCAAATTAACTACTTACAAGTAGTATGAAATATCTCAAATAATAGATGTTTTAAGTTTTTGTCAAACCTCTCCATAATTTTATGTTTCATTCTTAACCAAAATCATGAATCGATCATTATTGAACTGTACCACTGAGAACCTGGAAATAATAAATGGGTGTTTTGACCTATTAGAGGACTTATCAGTAGCAGATGTCTGAGAGGTAGTGTTTAATACTGAAGACAATGAATGATGGTTGCGTAATATCGTGGATTAACTTAAGTTACACATTAGCATCGTTGGATACCGATTCTGTGGTTAATACGTTAAGCGTCTGCTAGTCAAACCAAAAGTCCTCGGTTCGATTCTCGCCTTCAGGATTATCGGTGCACACTGCCAATGAGTGTCATAATACTCAGTCAGTCAGTCAGTCAGTTGCGACGTAGAACTTCGTACGTAAGTACATCAGTTCATGTCGCCATACCACATCAACACAGAGATATAATTGTCAATTCAAATCCAATAGTAGAAGAGGTAGTAAAGGTATTAGAAGTAATCAGAGAGGTTAGGATGAGAAGATATTATTCAAGAAGTATGATTCAATGAGATAAGTTTAGAAAGTAAAGACTAGAGGTGTTGAAGAATCCAGAACTTTAGCATTTGAGAGAACACAAAGAATAAATGCACTGGCGCCATTGCGAACGATTTTGAGCCATGTCATTCAAGGTCTCTAACCATCGATTATTATCATCTCGCGGACCCCATCCAGGTAGTCGACAATTACCGACATGGCTAAGTCCACTCGTCAATGACTTCATGGATTTCTGCCATGTTTTGGTCTGGCCGCCCCTAGCTTTCTTCCAACCTATTCCTACACTACAAAACAAAGCTCGACGAGGCAGTCGGTGGTTAGGCATACGCAACACGTGTCCCAACCACCTCAACTGATGAAGTTTCACCACTTCATCTATTGATCTGCCATTCTTACCTAGTACCCGTTTCCTAATAACAGCGTTGCTCACTCGGGTGGCCCACGATGTACGAGCAATGCTTCGAAGACATCTATGATCGAAAACCAATAACCGACGAGTATCTTCTACTCTCATTGGCCATGTTTCACAGCCATAAAGTAAGACGGAGAGAACCACTGCACAGTACACTCGTCCTTTAGTCAGCAGACGGATATCTCGCCTACGCCATAAGTGACGCAGGTTGGCCAAAGCCAATCGAGCCTTCTGTATCCGTGCCGAGATTTTGTCAGTCACCAGGCCATCAGCACTGATGAGACTCCAAAGATAAGTGAAGCGGTTTGCACGTTCGACTACTCCACTCCCTATCACTAGTTCAGGTGCCGATGCAACCCAGTCTTGAAGCAACATTTTGCATTTCGAGGGGGACAACCGCATCCCGAACATGCTTGCATTGTTGCTTAGGGTAGTCAGAAGACTCTGCATTTTGTCAGCGTCTTCAGCAAGTAGGACAATGTCATCGGCATATTCTAAGTCAATAAGTGAGCCACCTGGTAGAAGGTCTACTCCAGAAAATTCAGACGAGGATAAGGTTATTTCTAGGAGCATGTCTATGATAAAATTAAACAGGAATGGAGAAAGTGGACATCCGTGACGGACACCACTTGAAGTAGAGAATTCCGGTGACAGTTCGCCATAAGCTCTCACTCGACCAGTGGTGTTCAAGTAGAGAGCTTGTATGAGGTTAATGTACTTATTTGGTGCACCTTTCAATGACAGACACTGCCACAGAACCTCACGATCCACTGAGTCAAATGCCGCCTTAAGGTCCAGGAAAACAACTATTGTAGGACGCCTAAATGTGTGTCTGTGTTCTAGGACCTGTCGTAGTGTGAAAATGTGGTCTATACAGCCACGTCCAGGTCGAAAACCAGCCTGGTTTTCTCGAGTCTGCTCTTCACGAGCTTTCGTTAAGCGTCGAAGTATTATTTAGATTTATATATTATATACTATATTAGTTAGACTTATTCCCCTGTGATTGTCACAAGAAGACTTCTGTCCTTTCTTATAGATTGGGACAATCAGTGATTGAGACCAGTCGGATGGGATTACGTCCAGTTCCCAGATTCTACCTAAGATCTCAGTCAATCTAGCTGATAAAACTGGACCACCATCCTTAAATATCTCAGGGGTCAGTCTATCAGGACCTGCAGCTCGTCCTCGTTTCAGATTTCCTAACGCTTTTTCAACTTCATTAAGACTAGGGGGACTTAGGTCGATTTGCTATTCAGGATGACTGGAGATCATGGGTAACCGAAGAGTGGCTCGAGGCCAGTTGAACTGATCCCTAAAGTGTTCTGCCCATCGATCCAGTCTCCTGGATTGAGAATAAATAATAGTCCCATCATTTTCTGAGATAGTCTCACTTACACTAGGATTCCTAATACCAGTTTCTTTGATAAGGCGGAAAAGTTGTCTACTGTTGCCTATCGCCGCTGCCTTTTCCATCGCTTTTGCTTTCGCCACCCACCACTGTTCACGGTCGTTACGTAGGCTTTTTATCAGCTTGCGCCTAAGCTGACTTCTCTCCTCATCATGTTCAGAGCCAGGTGGGATGAGTTTTCGGGCATCCATCATATCGGTGGATGCTGCTGAGATCCACGGTTTCATTCTAGCCTTATGGTCAAGCTCACTAGCAGATATCACTGCTGTTTCCACAGCCTTTTTGATATCATTCCATCCTGCTTCCGGATGGGAATCGCTTAAATGGTCGCCTAACTGTCTTTCTAGTTGTTCCTGAAATATATTTTTCGCCTTATTATCATTAAGTAAAACCCAAAAGGCTTTCTTACGGTGTCTTTTCTACGCCCAGTAAGCTTCAAACAAATACGCACTCGCACTAGGGCATGATCTGAATCTAGACATGTGCTCCAGAACGAGCGACAGTCCTCTATCGAACCCCTCCATCGATGGCTGATGGCAATGTGATCTAGTTGAGTACAACGTTGAGATGACTTTGGAGGTCGCCAGGTCAGCAGATGCTTTTCCTTATGCCTAAAGTTAGTGTTTGCTAAGAATAGGCGGTTGTCTGAGCATGCTTGCAACAGACGGTCACCATTGTCTGTTCTCTGAGCCGGGACACCATAACATCCACCTAGGTGTCTCTCCTTCTCACTTAGTCTACCTACTTGAGCATTAAAGTCACCAGCCATTATTACTATATCAGAGAGCCTAGCTTTTTGGAGGAGGTCCAAAAGCTTTCTGTAAAACTCATCCTTAACCTCGTCTGAACTGCATTCAGTGGGGGCATAGGCAGATACGACGAAGAGGCAACGGCGATTGTCCCTATCTTTCCGAGTCCTTACTGTCCCGTTTAGTCGGACAGCGCACAATCGACTATCTATTGGGATCCAGTCAAGGAGAGATTGTTCTGCCCTACGACTCAATGCTGTGCCTAGGCCAGCAAGACCCCTGGAAGCAGCATCAGGGCTACCGGATACACGAAGAGTAAATCGAGCTGCTTCTTTATTTTGACATGGTGTGGTCAAGTGTATGACGTGACTCGGATCCTGTATGCGCGTTTCCGAGACGCAGCATACATAGATGGCACGAGATTCTAAAGTCCTAGCTAAGGAAGCCTGTTGCCCTATTTGACATAATGTCCGTACATTAAATGCTCCAACATGTAGTCTAGAGCGAGGTTTAAGGAGACCAGGAACGACGTTTCGCGAACTCGTATCGTCTGCATTAGCTGTGCACTGTGATGAATGAATGTGAGAAGAGTTAGTCGTGGAGATAGGAGAGACATTAGGGGATGTAGGAAGGATTTGATTTTGACCAATTCGGTCTCGCGTGCTGTTATGGGTATGAGGGCGGTTGTCACTTCCCGGCTGCCCACACCGTGGAAGGTTGTTTCTTGAGGAACCTGAAAAGGAAGATAGATTAGTGTTGGTGCGTGAACGCAGAGCCCAAGGGACAACTGCTTGAGGCTAGTCACGCATGGCCTTTTTATCAAATGTTTTTTGAGGATTAGCTCCGTTCTTATAGGCCCTTAGTGGGCACCCTTACCCAAGGAGACGGAAATCCATGAGTTAGGGGAGGTGTGACATTTTTAGGGCCGACCTTTTCTTACCCTTCCTTCCTTGTCAGAAGGCAGCATCGCTGCAGATGCTGGTTGTCCGAGGGAAACACCTTTCTGCTGTCACACCCCTCTGCTGTTGTCAGCAGTACGACTTCGCCCTCAGACCTTGGGTAGCTGCTTTTAGTCTCATCGTTCTCCAATCGACCAGCCTGGCATGGTAGAACCTTGAGGAACATATGTTCTAGCCAGTATAGCTCGGTTGGGTCATCACGATAGGCAAGCCCGACCACCACGTCAAGGTAGCAGCTACGGTCGGGTGTCATCATACTAGGATGATAAGGTCCATCTGACGGTGTTCTATTCTGAAAGCACAATCAGCCTTATACTGTTACACATCTATCCAGTTTTACAATAATAATAACATATGAATTTCAACATCATTTTAAAATATCGATCTATGAATATTCCTTAAGAGTAAAAATATTTCCATTTATTAGCTACCGATTAGTCAGTCATAATTATGATAGAACCTGCTACTTAAAATGTAACAATTCAAATTGTCATACTTTATGAACAAAGAGTCAGATGAAATTTCCACGATCATTGTTGAAACAGTAAAAAATAAACCCATATGGAATGTTACATCTAATTTAGATAAAGCACAGTTTTGTTTACGCAATAAGTCACACATAATATTTAGTGTATCTATTTGCACTCCAAACTTGTTATTGACTGTCTTCTCTTACTGCTCCTCTGATCTTCACTATATACTCCAGATACTCTCCTCACTCTCTGTCTGGTAAAGCCTTCAAATTGATATTCCCAATTCATACTACTTATAAGCCACTTTGTAAATAGTATCCACCACAACAGTGTTAATGACAGTAGTAGAATGGGATTAAGAATAGACAATTCTAATTTTAGAAAGAAGAATTAATTCACGTAATATAATTTATAAGAGAACTGTATGATTCAATAGAATATCAATGCTAATCAATAAAATTATTCATCTCTTGTTATCCTATGCCATACGATGTGTATACCATATGTTATACTGCTTGCTATATAAAGCTGAAGGTTTCGTATGAACCCAGAGGTTCGCTGAGATGAACATTGTGGATGGTTTGGCATTGCTTTGACAAGTATTGCTAACAGTTCATATACAAAATTTGTGAGCAGGGTGACCGATTTCATTGTCGTTGGAGGGCTGTATTGTATATCACCATTGCTAATAATAATGAGTTTGACAGTCATACGTGAGCGGTATGGGTTAAATTGGCCTGTTCATGTGGTGCATATTGATTGACGCGATCATGGATTGGAAATAATCACTATATATATACTAAAGTATATAAATAGTGTGAATGGTCCACCAGTGTGTCAGGTACCAATGTGGTTGTGCTGTGGTGCGAGCTACTTATAAGTAGTATATGACGCGAGTGAAAACGTAATGTCTGGCAGCAGAAGATGGGGGAAGATGTATGAAACACATGGACAGTGAAATGTCAGACAATGGACTGATGCTTGCAACAGGAACAGTCCAGTTCGATGGACGATTGATTGATATTTTGCAAATTAACGATTTACGATATGGTTTTTCTATTTTACCAATTAACTCAAATACAATTCGGTAGCCCTCACCTGTGTTCTCCTTCACTACAGTGCCACAAGATTGAGTTGGACTGTTTACGTTGAAATGTTAACACGTAGACAGCCTTCTTGGTTCTCCTGAAGAACGGATGTGAAATTGCCTTTGACAATTGAAGGTTAATTTATATAATTGTATTTGAACACAGAAATGAGAAGACATATTTTGTGAGATAGTACCATTTCGTGCTTTCTCGTCAGTCACATACAAGCAACATGTTATTTGTGTAAATACACTTTTGAAGATATGGTCAACATTTCTTATTTAGCATGACATTCACTCACTAGAAGAACCATGGTAAACAAAGGTCAACATACAGTTGCTTTTGAATACATAAAGTTGGACTTTTCCGACCAATCAAGATAGCTTCGAGTAGTTTCAGTGTATGTGGGTTTTGATGACATGTCACAACTCTAAAGGCTGATTTTGGGTCAATTTGATGACCGCTCATCATTAGCTGTTTTGCAATGGATGAGGCTGGGTTTCTTGATCGATTTTGAGATGATGGGCTAGGTTGATGAATCATGGATTTGATTAGCCATTTTGGAATATGTTCCCCTATCCTGTCTTCCAATCGGCGATCTGTCCTACCTAAGTAACTTTCTCCGCAGTTACATGTGAATTGGTAAATACAGTGGGATTTGGACTGAATCGGTCTTGGTGACTTGATTGGGGTAACTGAGATTAGCTGCGTTGAAGGTCTTTTTTATTGCAGCTGCAGTCTGTTTGGTTGTAATTTTCATGCAATGATCACCTTTGCAAGGTAACTGTAGGCACACTGGTTTCTTGGACACATCAGTTTCTATCAGTTTCGTCGTAGTTGTGTTCTGATGACCAATAAACGTTTCGGGATATCCGTTTGATTTAAGTGTGTCAGTAATAAGCTTGAATTCGTCGTTCAATGTATCAACAGTGCAGATTCTGCTTGCTCGAGCGAATAAAGAGTTTTGACAACAGAACGTTTATATTGTATGGGGCAGAAACCAGTGAAGTGGAGGTACTGTCCCGACCAGGTGGGTTTGCGGTGTACTTTTCGTCTGATTGATCCGTCTGGACGGCGATGGAGCAGTATATCGTGGAAAGCTAGTTCATTATTCTTTTCTTCCTCAAAAGTGACTTTCAGATTCGGATGAATCGCATTAAACAGCATTAAATAAATCATTGACTTCATTAATATCTGTAGAATGTGGTACTATGACTAGAATATGACGAGAAAGCACGAAATGGTACTCTATCTCACCAAATATGTCTTCTCATTTCTCTGTTCAAATTTATCAAAGGGAACTACTGTTTTGAATTTTATATCATTGTGAATTATGTACCCATAGACAAAAAAAAGTCGAAAAAATTTTCTCACTTAAGTTTTTGTTTTATTTATTTATATTAATAATAGAGATGTTGTTGAAGCGGAAAATATACGTTTAGATCGTTGGACTGTTGTCATTAAACCAGATCATGCAGAGAAAGATGCACAAAAGAAACAATTACAAATTGAAGCTAATTCTTCGAACACGAATGAAGATTCTAGTCGAATATTTGTTATGAATAATTATTTTGGTTTGGGGATAGATGCTGATTTAAACTTGGATTTTCATATGGCACGTGAAGAGAATCCAGCAAAATTTAATAGCAGGTAAAGAGTAGATTTAATAGTTGAATGGAAATTTCATTCGCGAATCTTATTTACTTACTGACACCTATTACCACCAACAGAGCAAAGGCTGTAGATCAGCATTCTCTAACCTACTCTGTCCTCCACCTTCCTTTCCAATTCTGTCCGATTTTCGTTCATTCATTCTTCTCATATCTGTCTCCAGTTCCGAGTGTAATGTGTTCCTTCGCCTTCCTCTTTTCTTTTGGCTTGGACGATTCTAAGTGAGGGTTTGTCTTATGACGCAGTTGGTTGCTTTCCTCAATGTGTGTCCTATCGACCTTCGACGCTTTTCAACAAATTTATTCAACAGAGCACAGGCTGTAGACTAGCATTCTCCAACCTGTTCTATCCTCAACCCTACTGTTTAGTTCTGTTCAATTTTCGTTCATTCTTCTCATATCTGTCTCCATTTCTGGGTGTAACGTGTTCCTTGGTCTTCCTCTTTACCTTTGGCTTGGAAGATTCCAAGTGAGGACTTGTCTTATAACACAGTTGGGTGCTTTCCTCAATTTGTGTCCTATCTACTTACAGCGCTTTTTACAAATATATTCGTCCGCTGGGATTTGGTTTGTTCTCTCCTACGGTAGATTGTTACTCATGATATCTGACCAATGGATTAGGAGTATCTTGCATGGGAAACTCTTGATAAACTTCTGTATCTTCTGGATAAGAGCTTACGTAGGTTTCTACAAGTTTGCACATTTGGTAATCTAGTTCAAGCTATTTTATAGAATTATATATCTATAATCAAATATCAGTCGTCATTCAATTAGGAACATGGAAAAAATGGACGGTTAAGCTTTCGTGTGCACTTCTGATCAGTCCTATACTGGAACGATGCGAATGGTACTTATATGTGTGTTTGGTCGTTCAAATCGTTCAAATCGTACTGCCATAATAGATATCACTCGCAGAATTCTGATAATCATCATTGCCTTTTCATTATGCACTATTCCAAAATATAATGATCATATTTCCTTGAAAAACTTCAGACTAGATGGTCAAGTGAAATTTACTAAAAGTTCAATCGACTACTCTTATTATTTCTTACTTACACACCTATTACCATCAATAGAGAACAGGCTGTGTAGATCAGCATCCTCCAACCTACTCTGTCTTCAACCTTCCTTTCCAGTTCTGTTCAATTTTCGTTCATTCTTCTCATATCTGTCTGCATTTCTCGGATTAATATGTCCCTTGACCTTCCTCTTTTTCTTTGGTTTTGAGGATTTTTTGAGAGGGCTTGTCTTGCGACGCAGTTGGTTGCTTTCCTCAATGTGTGTCCTTTCCACTTACAGTGCTTTTTCCTGATTTCCTACTCCACTAGAATCTGGTTTGTTCTCTCCCACAGTAGGTTGTTACTGATATTGTCTAGACAACGAATCCGAAGTATTTTGCACTAGCTACCCAGAAAAGTCAATTCAATTACTCTTAGTGTAATTTGAAAATTTGAATAATCAACTCTCCTACATTGATTTATTATTCTTTATATAGTAGAAAGAAAAGGGCTAAGTTCATTGATTAAAATTTCAGTTAGTGTTATAATCAATCCTATAAGATTTTTATTACCGAATAACACTAACTATAATACAGAATGAATAAGGTTAGATATGAATAGTTAAGTTGGTATTGTTTTTTCAAAATAAGGTAAGAGTTATTTGATCATGAACTGACAACAATTATGATGAAATATACTTTGTCATTTTAAAGTTTTACAATAAACTAGAAGTTTTCTCATTTCATTAAACACTTAATAGCGCAATTCAATTTAACAAGTATCTTAACAGAATAGTTTAGTTTTTTGACGATTTAGTTTAAGGACAATCTTAATTCTACTTTTTGGTGTTTTTTTCCAAAACAATTTACTATTAAATTGAAGCATTGTTTTCAAAGATTTCTTACAAGTTATGTTTATACTGTATATTAAATTTCGCTTAAAATATATCTTCGTAAACACGGTCATTTAGATATGCTTGAACTATTACGAGTCTACTTAGTCGGAAAACGAGAGCGAGGATCGAAGATCCGGCGACACGACATGCTAATCATATCCGATTATCCTGACGCCCCCCCATGTTGAGTAAAAATAAGAAGACATGATATGAAGTAGAACCTGTATTCTACAAGCATCCAGAAAGTACGAGGTCCGAGTCCAGAAGAGAATCAGGATCCCGTACCAGGGATCTGGGACCGGGTCCTGATCATAAAACGTTACAGATAATGCGTATTTATACATTTTGGTCGGATGAGAAACAGCATCGAAGTCTGTGACATTGACAGATAAGACGACCAATAGGAAGCAACATTTGAAGTGACATTGACAGTCAGGACAACCAATAAGAAACAACATTGGAGTATGTGACATTGATATCTAGGACGACCATAAAATTGACTAGTGGGAATTAACCAATAAGAATTGACCAACAATTCTCTTAAGATATTGGATGAATATCCTAACAGATGTCTGTAGGAAATAGGATCTAGGACATGTGTGTTTTATCCTATTTCGCAGTCTTCTTTGGCTGGCTACCATATCTTAGAGTTGATGTTCACTGAACAATTCGAACCCATTAGCATAAAATACCATCACGTTACTTACTTATCGACTGAGTCCTAGTAGCTAATTACGTTGAACAACGGGTATGAGATTGAATTCAATTTGAATTTGGTTTGGATAATTCCGTTGTTCATATTTTCACTGATCAGTCTTCACAAGTTTATGAGCATTCTATGCGGATAGCCTCGTCATATCCATTAATAAAACAAGTTTATATAGAATGAAATACAATGTCGTTTGAAACAAATGCTACTACGCTTGAGTATCGGAGTGAATAATCAATCAACTCTTAAATGTTGCACATACCTTCAGTTAAAAGCAAATTTCGAAATAAAACGAAACCTCACATCTTGGTTTCTATCTCTCTATCCACATTCTATCGATTTGTGTTATATATACTGGCAAATGATGTCAAGCCTAACTAACTGATTTTCAATGAAAGTATCATATTTCAGTTGTGATTTTATTCCCTTCTTTGATTTTTACCTCCATTTTTTTCATTTTCTTATCTTTTCAACGTTTTTTTCTCTCTCTCTCTCTCTCTCTTTATTCAATGCACTAGAATTCATAATAAAAGTGTTTATTTAAAAATGGGTTTACGTAAAATGGTCAATCGTACAAAATGTAAAGATTTACATCAAAATATTGTCATTGAAGTTGATGGTCGTCAGTTGGATTTACCACCATTAGAAGGTGTTATTATATTGAATATTTTATCATGGGGTGCTGGAGCTAATCCATGGGGTGTTGAGAAAGATGATGCATTCACAACACCAACACATTTTGATGGTCAGCTGGAGATTGTCGGTGTAACTGGTGTAGTACATATGGGACAAATATTTTCTGGTCTACGTACAGGTATACGATTAGCACAAGGTGGTCATGTAAGAATGTTATTAGTTTATATAAATATATGTTTATCGTTTATTAGTATTATTAATATTATTTTCATGTTTTGATGTATATGGCTTCTATTGTATGTTGAGGTCTACTGCTGTAGAGATGGCTGGATACGTTACTGAATATGGGACAGATCATCAGTGAAGTCGTAATTTTGTAGTTTCATCTTAGCTATTCACCGTATTTCGTACGTCTCCTGAGATATGTTGAAGTCTTCATAATCTAGTCGATCACCAGAAGAAAGAGGAAGAGTGAGAGTAAGCAATCTTGTTTGACACCGATCTTCACATGGAATGAATCTGTGAGCTGTCTTCCATGCATGATCTTACAGTTTAATCCATCGTAAGAATTCTGTTTGATGTTGACTATATTCTTAGGCACGCCATAGTGTTAAAGAAACCTTCATAGTGTCATCCTATGTCATCCTGCCCATGGCTATCCATGCAACTTCATCGAATGGCAACTGAAACGATCGACAGAAACGAAGTCAGGCAAAGGAACAGACAAACGGATCATTTTACCATATATAAAATTGACGTTCTGTTAAGCTTCAGTTACGTGAACATTAATCAGCAGTCAAATGCCACGACAGTTCTTCCCTGATATCAATACATTCGGACAACGATGGACATAGGTTTGATTAAAACAAAGTTGAAACACTGGATAGTGAGAGCACAAAGAATACTAGAGAATATCTTGGAAGCCTGGCACTCAGGTTAACCAGCAATCAACAAACACATCGACATTCACCCAATTTATCAACTAATCAGAAAAATCATAGGTGACAAGAAACAGGTCAAATGGGGATACAATCAAAATAAAGTTGTAGGCGATGACAGGTTTAAGGTCAATGAGAACCAATCAAGATCGAGGTTAACAGAACAAGCTACGGGTCAAATATGGAGTAACTCGAATACTTCACTTCTACCTGGAGTTTGTGGTGATGCTGATATTGTTCAGAAGAACAATGAAAGCTCCACAACCAAAACATCCAACTCAGAGAACAAAAAACTCCATCACAAGTTCTCACACTTCCTAACATTTCTGTTCTTTGCTATCTTGATGAGGTTTCCTTCTTCGCAATCCACCTGGAGCTCTTCTATGGTTATACTAACAGTCCCAAACCCAGATGTAAATGATGAGGTTTGAACATGTGGTTAATAACTCCGTCCCATAAAAAAATCAACCCCATTTCTAAATGAAACAACCATATTCACAGTTAACTCATTTCTACTACCTTTGTTCAACTACATAATGATACTTTCGAATTGTTAGTTTTACTATTCTTGTTATTGTGTTCTTTTTTCTTGTAGATACGAATTACAGTGAAATCTGATATTCCTGTACAAGTTGACGGGGAACCATGGATTCAATCACCTGGTCAAATTATAGTCTTACGTTCAGCTTTAAAAGTAAACACAAAAAAGCATAGTTTTATCTTAAATAATTATGATGAAATAAATAATTGATCATTGTCAGACTACCCTTAGAAACATAGAAGCACTGGATGGCCAGTTCATCTTAGCATCGAACTTATCAGCAGTGTGTATCCACGTCTACCACACGCGGTTATCGAACACAGGACATTCAGCCTTTCACGTGAACGCTCAAACTCTATAACACTGAGCCAGTGTTTAACAACTTCAATATCCAGCCAGCTTCAATCAGTCCGCGGTCTTGCACAACTTCAGCTCCTGTTTTTTATGGGTAACAGCCTACACCCGACAGGGTTGAGCTTCGCTGGTCACAGCTTCTCGCTAGAACTCGGGGGATCTTCCTCACAGAGTCTATCACCAATGAGCATATAACAATTCTCATTTGATTGCCGGCTCAGTGATCCAAAAGCTAAGCGTTCTCACGAGAGAGCGCAAGTCCTGTGTTCAACTCAAGTGAGCAGGGTTCGTGGATGCTTAGTGCTGAATAGTCTTATCCCAGGACAGAATGGCCGTCTTTCAGCGCTTTCAGGTTTCTAATTGTGGTCCGACATTGATCGATGCATGAGTTTGAAGTTTATTGAGATTAGAAATATGAGTTATGGTTGAAAGTTAACAAGCACTTGTTATTATTTCCTAAAAATTACTTCGTGTTTCTAATGTATGACTTTCTACCTATTTATCATCTGTTACGATGGGTTATTCATTTTTACGAGCGTTTTTATGACTCGACTAATTTCTTCCGTTTCATTTGCATATTGTTTTTCAAGACCAGTGATTATTTGTTAAAATGTATATTTCTCTTTGATGAATGCTCATTTTATTCTGAACATTTTGTTCTAGTATTCTTTGAAATTTACAATCATGATTATAGTAAAAATGATAGAAATAATCTGAGGATTTAACTGTTCAAATTAAATCTTCCTTCTAACTTGTTCACTATAAATATTTCTTGAAACCATGAATCGATCAATGTTAGACCACAATTAGAAACCTGTAATCACTGGACGGCCGTTTCGTCCTGGTGTGGGACTCATCAGCAGTGCGCATCCACGACTCCTGCACCCCGCAGGATTCGGACCCGGGACCCTCGGTATCGTGCGCGGACGCCCTAACCGTTAGACCACTGAGCCGGTATCTGACGGTGTTAATGTCTTACTTTATCAAATTCACGGAGTTGCGTACCCTCATACACAGTCTTCGGTAGACATTGCCTACACCCGAACAGGTTGAACTACACTGGTCACGTCTTCCCACTAGAACTCGCAGAAGATTCCTCACTAAGCTAGTCACTAGTGAGCCGTCCAGTGCTTCCAGGTTTCTACTGGTGGTCTAACATTGATCGATTAATGGTTTCAAAAATGTGTAACTTAACAATCTTCACAACCCCGTAATGCACTATAAATATGATATGAAATCACTTTTATTGGTGACTACTTACATTCTACTTATCTAGTTAACTTACCTACGTCAGTTAATCCTTGTGGAGTATTGGCCGCTAATCAGGATTCTTCAGCTAACTATGTCATAGGCGTGCTTTTCTAGCTGTTCCTTACTTTACTTACGCCTGTTACACCCCCCCTATCAGCATTCAACAACCTACTGTCTACTCAGGTTTCATTTCTATTTCTACACAATTGCTGTTCATTCTTTTCACGTCTGTCTCCATTTCTTGGCGTGATATGTTCCTTGTGAATGTACACTGCTGATGAGTCCCATATCAGGACGTAACGGACATCCAGTGCTTGCAGATTTCTAGCAGCCGTCTAACATTGATCGATTCATGATTTTAAGAATTTCTCATTATATAGCTTAGATAAGAATTATACCGTATTGTTTTTCTGAATCAGCAATACAATCCCATATAATATAGAAACGAAACTTTAACTTTAATTTCCATGTCGTACAAAGAAAAGGTTCCATGATTATGTGTATATTTCCAGTTTATTCCATTTCCTTACCATAACTATCACATTTTTTCAGTGTGATCTCAAATAGTTTACAATTAAAATGTACTGGTAACTATTGAATTCTATCATAAACTTCCTTTATATCATTGATTAACCTGAAAAGGAATTTATTCCTTATCGTGCTGTTATGACGATGTACCGATGTCCGGAATCTGAACGTGATACACGGTAACCTTCCAAACTGGCAGCTACTTAAGCCAGAAGACAAGAGTGGAAGAAAAAGCTTATTTGGCTACTCGTGTGTGCATAGATATTCCACTCCCCTAGAAAATGAATCCGTTTCCTGACCTCAAGGACATTTCTGATGGCCATCAGGTGACCTTCCCGTTCAGCCACTCACCTGAGATCGGCTCACTACATTATATTAGTTTATCTTAACAAATTGTCATCATTTCAATCTGTAACCTTTAAATTGTTTGGATTTTTTATCACACTTACATCTAACCTTCATTGATAACAAGTTAACAGTATAATATCGCCTCTTTTTTTTCTCAATTTCAAGGCAACTATGCTGAAAAAACGTAAACGACGTAAAGTCAACCGCCGACATACTGAGCCTGGTTTAGGTGGATCAGGCAATGCTAACACAAGTGCAAATACAAATCCTATACATGGTAGTACAGAGGATCCTTTAAGTAGTGCTGTATTCGGTGCTAGTGGACCACCGCCACCAGAAAGTGCAAATTCACTTGATTTTGGCAATCACACTATGCATACTGCTTATACTAATACTACTACTACTAATACTACTACTACAACTACTGCTACTAGTAGTAGTATTACTAGTACTACTATTAAACAACTTGATTTAGATATAGCAAAAATTGATTTAGACGAAGAAGAAGCGGAAGCCGTCAATCCCAATGCTACTTCTTATCTATCAAATAATACAATCAAAATCAATGATTCTTATCCAAGATTATATCGACCAGGTCGACCAGTTTGTATGAAACGTAAAGGACGTCGTATACCGAAGCCTATCTTAGTCGCTGTACCATCTGCTCCATCGGAAACTTGTCGATCACCAACAGAATTACTTCGTCGTGACAATAACGTTGATGATGATGACGATGATGATGATGATGACGACGTTGACGATGACTTTAATGAGACGTCGGCTTTATGTTTAGCGAAATCAACACGTTTAAAACCAACTACAACTGGGAATGTTCAATCAACAACACCAACATCAACATCCGATGATCAATGTTCAATCATGCAAACTGTAAAAAATACCACAATTTCCAGTGCAATCAATGAATTCGATTCATCGATTAATAAAAAAACAAGTTGAATAAAAGTGATCACAATCAAATAAGTAGTAGTTATAGTAGTATATTAGTAGTATTAGTAGTAGTAGTAGTCGATGACAACTTTTTGTTTTTGGTAAGTTATTTATTGTTGTTTTTTTATTTTATCATGCATACACACTATTTGAATTGCATAATTGTTACGCCTGCACGTGTAAACACGTCAACTTGATATGCTTGAAGTATTACGAGTTTACCTAGTAGGAAAACGAGAGCGAGGATCTGGTGACACGGCATACTACACAAATCCAATTATCCCAGCCCCCACTCCCCATAATAAGTAACAATAAGAAGACTTGATTTGAATTAGAACCTGTATTCTACAAGCATCCACAAAGTACGAGATCCGAATCCAGAAGAAAAACAGGATCCCAGATTAGGGATCCGGGACCGAGCCCTGTTCCTGGTCGTGGTCATAAAATGTTACAGATAATGCGTATTTATATATTTTGGTCAAATAGGGAACAGCATCGAATTCTGTGGCATTGACAGTTAAGACGACTAATAGGAAGTAACATTTGAAATGACATTGACAGTCCGGATGACCAATAAGAGACAACATTGAAGTAATTGACTTTGACAGTTAAAACGACCATAATTTTGACCAATAAAAAATCGACCAATAGGATTTGACCAATAATTCTTTTAGGATATTGGATGAATATCCTAACAATAATGATGCAATTCAAAGATTTTTATGCAAATGAAACAGTCCCATTTATTATCTTGATCAAAGAGGGAGAGACAGAGAGATCAGGAACAAGAATCATTATAGTGTTATAGAGATTGTTATTTAGTCCTGAAGTCATCAGTGAATCATTGTTAGACTACCATCAGAAACCTGAAACCACTGGACGATCGTTTCGTCCTGTTGTGGGACTCGTTAGCTAATCATAGGATTCGAACTCAGGACCTTCGGTCTTGTGCACGAACGGCTACATTTAGGATTCATGATTTCAGTAATGAACAACAATCTCAATAACTGTATATTAAAAAAATCCTACGGTGTGTTCACTAGTACCTAGCTTCATGAAGAAATTCTCGGATTTCTAGTGAGATGTTGCCAGTTGAGCTCAGTCCTGTCGGGTGTTGGCTGTTGACCCCAACCAGGTAGTCGACAACTACCGATATGGCTCAGTCCACTTGTCAATGACTTCATGGATTTCTGCCATGTTTTGATTTGGCCGCCCCTAACTTTCTTCCAACCTATTCCTACACTACAAAACAAAGCTCGTCGAGGCAGTCGGTGGTTAGGCATACGCAACACATGTCCCAACCACCTCAACTGAGGAAGTTTCATTACTTCATCTATTGATCTGTCATTCTTATCTAGCACCCGTTTCCTAATAACAGCATTGCTTACTCGGTTGTCCTAGGATAAACGAGCAATGCTTCGAAGACATCGATGATCGAAAACCAGTAACCTACGAATATCTTCTACACTCACCTTGGCCATGTTTCACAGCCATAAAGTAAGATGGAGGGAACTACTGCACAGTACACTCGTCCTTTAGTCAGCAAACGGATATCATGCCTACGCCATAAGTGACGCAGGTTGACAAAAGCCAATCGAGCCTTCTGTATCCGAGCTGAGATTTCGTCAGTCACTTAGATTGATCAGAGTTAGGCCGGCTCAGTGGTGTGGAAAGACAGAAGGTTCTTTGTGTGAGTCCCATAAGCATGGGTTGTAGATATACACCTCTGATGTGTCCTATACCAGGACGAAACTGCCATTCACTGCTTTCAGGTTTCTAATGGTGGTCTCATAGGATTTCAATAGATTACTATTATTATTTTTATTATTTTTATGATAATTATCATAGATGGTTTTGTTTTCTCTTCATCTAATCATTTATTTAGCTATCAACTAACAATCACATTCCTTCCATCCATTCATCCATTTGTACACACTACTATTACATAATGATGGAATAGTTTAATACTTCAGTTATATTCATTTATTTATTTATCTCAATTAACAAAAAAAAATTACACAAATGTACACATCCTTATATGGTGGAGAACCTTTTTCAATTTAATTACAAGTATATTTTCTTGATGATATACAAATGTACACTGACTGCACTTGGATTTGGCATGAACTTCTCAATTACCGCCGAACATGCTGATTGATGTACAATAGTTGTTACATTGAAAATATAAAAAAAGTGCCCAGTACCACCAACAAACACATTAATGTTTGCGATGGCCTACTTTCTCATTCTGTTTCTTTCTCTCTCTCTGTGTGTGTGTGCGTGTGTTATTGATGTACGTGTTTGCAAACTGTGTGTGTATGTGTGTGTGTGTGTGAGTGCGAACACACAACACTTTCAACCCTGTTCATATGCTCTGTGTGCATTAGAACTTTCGATGTTTTGCTGGCTGATGTGATTCGTGTGGGTGGATAAGTTCTCTTCCAGTTGTATTCTGATTATTATTACTACTGGTAGTAATAGTAGTAGTAGTAGTAGTAGTAGCAGTAGTGTTAATATTTACTAACATAAAAACACATAACAAATGTATAGAATAAGCTATTTCAACAGAATTTCTCTTCTGCCGTCGCCGTCGCCGCCTCCCCATCGTTCTTCTCCGTCTTCGTCTTCTTATTCTCCTCCTCCTTGTCGTCGTCAATGACGTCATCTTCAGTTGTTATTCTCAATGGATATCACGACAGACTTCCCGGAGTGTTGTAGTTCAATCTATGTTGTAATTGTTCATCTCCACTGTCCGTGCATGTGTCTGAGTGTGTGTACTATGGCATCGACAGCATGCATCCGCACTCACACACACATGAAGTATACAATTGTTTTACTTTTGTCTTTCTTCTTCTACTACTACTACTAATCAATAAACAACAACTGTGTGCAATAATAACGATAATAATCATAATGATAATTAAATTTTTTATTAAACACAATTTCTCGAAAATTGTTTATTTTCAAAATTCATTTCTTATTTCAATTCTCTCTCTATTTGTTATTCATTAAATTACAATTTCATGTCGTTTGCTCTTTTCCCCCTCGTTAATGACGTCGTAATTCATGCGACAATGTATACCACTGAATCAACACACATTCCTCTTACTTGATATTTTCTCAATGGTTGTTAGGTCAACAACATGTGTAAGTAGTCATTTTGATTTAAGTAGACTAATCCATCCATTCATCTATCCATCGTACATACATTGTTCACAAGAAAAAACGCCCTGATTAAAAAAAAGATGTCATAAAAATCTACGTGTAACATTGATAATCTATCCCCATGTAAATTTCCTTTATTCTTTAATTGCTCATTGAACACTGTGATTTTGTTCGTAGTGCAATGAATATGAATGATTCTCCTTTGATTTTTTCTTTTGTCTATTTAAAAAATATCAATCATGACTTTTTTTTTCATGTCATGTCATGTTATCATTTCTAACTGACTAACTGACTGACTGATTGGAAAAATTGTAAATTTTGTTTTCCCTTTTTTCAATGTCTTCTATGAAGTTGTTCACTTATTATGATTTTTATTTTTGATCATGGGTTTCCATTTCCTCCATAGTTTACCCTATCGGGTTTTTGTTATCTTAGAGAAAGTTCTTCTGTTTTTCTCCTTCCTTCGTGTATCTGTTGTTGTATCTATCACACATGACAAGAAAAAATTGATCTGTTTTTTAGATTTTTTTTTATTTTATCTTATTTTATTTTGTTGTCGATTTTTCATTTCATTATTTTCATTTTTTTGATTATTGTATAGAGTATATCAATAGTCAATCAGTCATAGTTTTTTGGTATTCTACTGTGTCGCCTATTCATGGCGACGGGCTTCGTTGATTGTTTCAATCAATCAAAGAACTATGTAAAATTGTCTGTTGATGATAATGCGGATGCCGATGATAAACTCTTGTTGTGGTTATCGTTATTATCATTATTGTTTATTGATTATTGATTGTTGACTATTGATCATTGATCAACATGACAAGGTCACGGATGTAGAGTATGCCTTGTTCATCTGCATCCCTCTTTCTCTCACTATAAACACACACACATATATATATTTATATATTTTTAGATATATTTACTATATATTATTTACAATTTCCTTCTTTGATAATGATTATTTCCGTCTAAGTGAATATATTTTTTTTTCTCTGTTCAGAGTTTTCGAATTCTTGTTCTCGTTGTTGTGGTGGTTGTTTCTGTTTTGTGTGTGTCCTAGAACTTGACAATTTAAACTGTGTGTGTGTGCGTGTGCGGTGGATGGTTATCATGACAATATTTCTTTTAGGATTAATTTATCCAGTAATTAACTGCATTCATCCATTGCCTCAACATTTATCTATCTATCTATCTATCTATCTGTTTATTCATTCATACACACAAACTCACACACATACAAAAATCAACCTGTAAACAAAGTTCACAATGATTAGAAAAATACTGATAAAACATTGCTAACCGCGAATCATACTGCGCGCGCGCGCGGTTCAATTTTATTCATTCATTCATTCATTCATCCCATACATTCACGTCGCGCGCGCACACACACACACAGAGCGAACAAACACAAAGTTGTTGAACATGAGCAAAATTTTTATTTTTAACATATAAAATAAAAAGATAATTATTATTATTATTAATGTATAAAGAGGGAAAAAAGAAAATAGTCTAACGCACATTTTAATTACAAATTAAAACAAGAACATTATTCTGCCGACAAAACACTGAGACTATCATCATGGACACCGATATCTATCTATATATATATACATATATATACATATATAAATATACTTAAATATACATAAAAAATATTTTATTTTTCAGAGCTGTGTGCCCATTTTCATATGTTACACTTATTATAATATTAATGATAATGATAATAATAATAATTATTATTATTATTACTACTATTATTTCAGAGAATTAAAGCTGATGATCATGATGATCGTGATGAAATTATATTAGTAATGACCGTAATAATAATAATAATAATAATAGTAATTAATATTATTATTATTATTTAATGAATAAATTCTTATTGAATAATTGAATAAATAAATAAAAGAAGAAATAAAATTTCTAGTTAAAATTACTCTTTTTTTCTTTAATTGTTAAGAGAGAGAAAGAAACGATCAATATTGTTGTAGCATGTTTAGAATAACCAGTGTTATGCATGTGTGGTGCGAGCTACTTTTAAGTAGTAGTATATGACGTGAGTGTCAAAGTAATGTCTGCCAGCAGAAGATGAGGGAAGATCAAGAAAGGAAGAGTTAGAAGAACACACTGGGATTTGTATGAAACGCATCAATAGTAGTGACAATGGATTGATGTTGTTTGCAACAGGAACAGTCAAGTTCGATATGATGAACTGATATAATGCAAATCAACGATTTACGATATGGTTTTCCAATTTTACTGAGTAACTCTGTAATTTTCGTTAAATACAATTCGGTTGCCTCCACCTGTGTTCTCATTCACTACACATGCACATAAACATGTCAATTTGATATGCTTGAACTATTAGAAGAGCGAGGATCGAAGATCCGATGACACGACATGCTACTCTAATCCGAGTATCCTAACCCCATCTATCGAGTGAAAGAAGAGGACTTGATATGAAGTAGAACCTATATTCTACAAGCATCTAGAAAGTATGAGTTCGTCAAGTGGACTGAGTCATGTTGGTAGGTAGATGTAGGCTATCTGGTTGGGATCCGCGAGACAATAGTCACCGATGGAAGGAGAGAGACCTTGAACGACATGGCTCAGAATCGTTTTCGATGGCGCAGGTGCATCCACTGTTTGTGTTCTATGAAATTCTAAGCTTCTGCATTCCTCATAATCTCTACCTTTCTCCTTCTAAATTTATCTTATTGAATTATACTTCTTGAATCATATCTTCGCTCCCTAATCTTCTCCATTACTGCTAATACTTCTACTATCGCTATCGCTGTTGGATTTGAAGTGACAGTTGCGTCTCTGTGCTGATGTTCTATGGCAACCTGAACTGATGTACTTACGTACGAAGTTCTGCGTTCTATCTGCCTGTCTGTCAGTCAGAGCCCGAGTCCAGAAGAAGACACAGATCCCGGACTGGGGATCCGGGTCCGGGTCATAAAACGTTACAGATAATGTGTATTTATACATTTAGGTCGAAAAAGAAACAGCATCGAAGTCTGTGACATTGATAGTTAGGATACAGGATGACCAATAAGAAACAGCATTGCAGTATGTGACATTGATATCTAGGACGACCAAAAAATTGACCAGTAGGAATTAAAGCAATAGGAATTGGCCAATAATTCTCTTAGAATATTGGATGAATATCCTAACAACCACACAGATCATCAGCGAACAATATTGCTTTCAATTCAATTAGATCGTCATCAGGCTTTATACTCTCTAATATACAGGAATACTTGTCATATGAAAATGTTAAACCAATCAAGGTAATTTGAGTCAATAAACGCAACTGAAATAGAGATTACGTCACTCACTACACGTAATAGGCAAAAGTACAAGTTGGTATTGAGAAGACACAGACGTACTGATATGATCTCACTGGATGTCTTATCTTTGTCTACCAATATACCACTTGTCGAGACTATTGAGTTTATATGAAAGCATATATCAGAAAAACAAATCAACATTGGCTTGGCTGAGGATAGTTTGAAGGAACTGCTCTTAAGACAAATAGACGGGATAGCCCATTGGCTCACCTCTACGCCCGATTCTAGCTGATCTCTTCCTTGAAAAGCTAGAAAATGGATCACTTGATGAGACTATTAAGAAGCTCTATCTATATTGCCACTGCATAGACGACACATTCATTATTTTAGATCAGCACACCAGTAAAAAAACTCCTAGAACAACTCAACAGTGTACACCCGGCAGTTTCTTTCACTGGTGAACAGAAGTCGGGCAAAAAACTGAATTTCCTTAACGTCATACTTAGCAGGC